TAACAAACATTTCAACAAGAATCCTGAGCTTAAATAAACGTCAGATAATTACATTTAACTTCTTACTTTTATCTTCACAAATATATCCTATGATAATAATATTATATTTGTTTTACTTGTTTAAAATTAACTGTTTAATTATAAAAATATTATGAGTTTCAAAATTTATATATTATATTTTTATATAAATTTATATTACTTTGTACAAATAATCAAAATTTGTCTTTTTCTAACATTTATTTATTAAAGAAATTTTAAATTCTATTATTATTTTTTAACTAACGCTAAAAAAATTTCGAACACTTTTTGTCTTACGTAAAAAAAAAAAAAAAATTGTTCAATTCTCTTTTCAAAAAGTTCTTCAATTTTTTTTTTTTTTTATTGACACAAATTAAATGTGAGTGTACTCATCAAAAAAAATGTTGATTAATTGAAATTTTTTGAATAAATTTCAATCATCAACGTACACATTTTTACAAATAATTTCATCCAAGGAAAATTTTCCAATCGAGATTTAGAACGATCAATTTATCGGATAGTTTATGGAAAAGTTTGAAGTAAATAAACCCTTCGAAAGTATTCTCTTTCTCTTATTCTCTCACTATGTAACACAACTTAACCAGTTGATTCCGACTAACCGTAAGAAATAAACTCGTAACTTTTACTCCTTAGCAAATACGAAGACAGTACGTTTGTCTAATAAAGTGATGGTATGTTGAAGCTCGTTTTACCTATAGTTGGTTATAAATAGAAGGAAAAAAAGAAAGAAAGAAAGAGAAAGGAAAAGAAAAGAAAAGAAAAAAAAAACTACAAATGAAAATAGACGAACAGTCTGAGTGGTTCATTAGAAAGAGAAAACTTCATTACATGTACATATTTTTAAAATAAAGTGTAGCAATTAGTTTAGAAAAGAAAAAACTTATAATAAATAATAGATATTTTCTCAAACTTGTTAATAATAATTATACAGTAAATATAATAATATTATACCCGAACCTTATAATACTGAAAATAATCACAGTGATGAAGAGTAAAATGACTCACCCTGTATACATGTTTCAATGAACGCTCAACATAAACGTAACAACGTATACTCATACACAGATATATAAATACATAGATATATACATAAATAGAATACTTTTGAACCGTGGGACTGTTACGGGCTTTATCTATCCCATAGACCACACTTATAGCAAGGTAACAAGAATAATGATAATAGAAGTTGTAGTCTTGTAAAATCTTGTCGAATGTAAGCAGTCGAATTTACTCCTTTTTACATGAAAATTTCATTTCGTTTCACATATAAAATATAATACATAAACATGTATGTAAGTATATTACCTAAATGTCATCACGTTTAACTAGAACGTTGAAAACACGTTTAAAATAAAGTAATAAAGCAAACAACTTTTTCTCTTTTTACCATAGGAGGAATAAATTCGAAACATCTGCCACAGCTTTGATGTATTCTTTTCCACCTGCATTATGTACAACCTAAGTGCAGCTGCTTTTTGATTATCATAGATTACTACTACTACTACTACTACTACTACTACTTACTCTCCCTTCGATTCAAGTTAACCACTGGCACGTGCGCACACCTCATTCGTACATTGAAAGAAAATTTTATTAATGAAATACCAATTGATTACTATTTTATTCTTTTCTCAATCAAGAATAAAAAAAAATATATATATATATGTATATATTATTAAACTATAATAATTATTATATATTATATATTATTATCATATATTAATTATTGTTATTATTATTATAAATTAAATTATATAAAAATAATATAATATTTAATATATATACATATTATAATTTTATATGTTATAATATATATTTTACGTAATAAGTGTTATGTCAATTTTAATAAATTATATTTAATTAAGAGTGATACCTTATAACCGTTACAATAATATAATTGAATAGCCTTACCTTCGGATAATTTCAAAATAGATTAGGTGATGCATCATAGATACGGTAATCTTTTACACCGCTCGTATATTATAATATAATTATGTGATGTAAAATATACAAAACGATATAGGAAATAATAATACATAATACGATTTTCAAGGACTTGTAATTTCTATACAAAATAATAAAAAACAAATATTTCGCAGTATTCGCAATCGAATGAAAAGATCATACAGGAACGTATGTTACATGCATTCTATCGATTTGATTGATTCAATAATCGTCTATTCTTCTATTAAAAAAATATTTCATATTACACGGACAACTAATACTAACATACCCTTTTCTTTTTTCTTCCACATGTTTCAATTTTAATCGTTGTTTTATTAATCAGCCCCAACCCGGATGTAATCTTATCATATTGCTTTGATAATTTGTGGCTATGCTCTTAAATTTTTAATCAATTTTGTCTACAAATAAGGAATTTAAGAAAAAAATATAAAACAATTTTCTTCAGAAAAATATTATTTAACATTTAATAGGTGTTATTTAAATACAAGTATTTATATATTGATACTTATGAAATTTATAAATATGAAATATATATATATATATATATATATATATATTATTCTACTTTTACAATCAAAATCAATATTGTACTAAAATGAAATATAAAGTAACCCAATTATCTTCTTCTCTTTTAATTTTTCTATGGTAAACACGTAACACGATGCACGATGAATTAATAATTCATGGATATAAATAATTTTTCTATCGAAAATGAAAAGAATTCTATTGAGAAATATGATCCTACGAACGCCTACGAACCAATTCAATATTGTATTAGGTGTAATTCAAGTACGAGTATTATTTTTTCCCCTTAATTTTTCCCTATGGCAAACACGTAACGTGATGCTTACGGAATTGATAATTCACGGATATAAAATAAAATCTTTTATTAAAAATAAATTCTCTTATGTGTAATTATACAATCAAAATTGATACCATAAAAAGTTATCATGTAATCATTGAATTGCAAAAAGGGGGAATCTGTTTCTCCCAAATTATTTCTATCATAAATACATGAACAGACAATGGTTAAGAAATACAATTGGTTCGTTCGATGTTAGAGGGTTAATTAAAGCTATCCATGAGAGTAAAAGCTATCTCCTTTCTCAGTGGAAGTTAGGAGCCAGCGGCCTTCGCCTCTGTGGATAGATGGAACCGAGAAATATTTTATCGCTCGACGTCACAACGTAACCTCGTAACGTGAGCTTAGTACGAACGAAAACTTATCTCTATCTCTCTCACTCTCTCTCTCTCTCTCATAACACAAACACACATATACATACACATACTCTTTCAAATCACCTCTATCTCCTTTAGCTTCTTTCGTATAGCAAATTTCCCTACAACCTATTCGATAAGGTATCTAAAATCTTAAAAAAAGATTGGAAAATATCACATCTTCCTTCTAAAGAAAATCATAGGGGTTTTTTTTTTCTTTTCTTTTTCTTTTTTTTTTTTTTTGGCACGAATTACGATCAACCAATAGGACGATCGATAACATCAAATATTAATGTCTTTTTAGATCTCGATAAATTATAATATGAATAAATGTAAATGGTAATAGATTATAGATAGAGACAAATGATAAATTGATCGAGTAAAATGTTGTTATTAAATTAATGTTTAACCCGATCTGCGAAAAGGTTTTGAGAAAAAAGAAAATATATATATTCCCAGGTATAAATTACGTATAATATAACTGTAAGTGGATAAAAATAGCTAAGAAGAATTTACGGTAGTCACATTCATTGAGTAGAATTCTTTATTAGAGGGATATACAACAACTTGAGGAGAACAGGAAATGGCAAGCGAGAAGCGTCAGGTGTAGAACGTCGATCTTAAAGCGGACGCAAAAGCAACGGTTCGCCGCGCATCTCTTGATACATCCCGGAAATGAGGCCGCGTGCGAAAGTTCTAGAACTTTCCAATCTCTCGGCCATGCAGGCAACGTCGTCCACAAGGCATTCTTGTAGAACTCACGAATGGGAGAAAACTTGACTTAACGCTACCTATCTCTTTCATTCTTTCTTTCCCTCCCTTTCTCTTTCTCTCTCTCTCTCTCTTTCTCACTCACTCTCTCTCTCTCTCTCTCTCTCTTTCTTTCTGTCTCTCTCCATCTCTCCTCTCCTTTCCTTTCTCTTTCTTTCTTTCTTATTATTTAATTTTTTATTTCTTTTTTCTTTTGATTCTTTTACTGTTTAACTCTCGACATGACGCGGAACGAAAATAAGAATTGTTCAAACGAAACGGAAAAGATCGTAACGTAAGGCGCCGGAAACAGGAATTTTTACCGAGGAAGCTCCTTGGCTCGTAACGCGATTGGTTAACGTAACGCGCATGGCAGAAGAAGTGGGAGGGGATAAAAATGAGAGAAAGAGAGAAAGAGAGAGAGGGATTATACAGCGACCGCGCGGTTCTGACCCTTAACCGCAAGTCTGTCGGTAATTAATAACTGCCGCGATTAAAAATCCAACGAATAAGCGAAATGATAATAAACAAACATTGGACAGAGGACGTTTTAAATTAGATAAATAAAAAAAATGATATGATATCAATTATTATCTGTATCTCCTTAAAAATATTCAGCGGATCGGATTGAGGATTAAAATCGAAACATCAAATTCGTGGCAAAGGTTGGTCAATTGAATCACGTCGTAGGTATATACCAACTACCGCGTCACCGATGAATCTAATCTTGACTAAGGAATTACTTCTTGGAAGAGATTACTGGCAGGAATAAAAACATAACTCGTAGACATCGAGAAATCGAAATGATTTTTAAAATAAAGTAAGAAAACAACAAGAAAACAAAAACAGAAGCACGAACCGTGAAAAACGTCTAATTTCGATTTATAAATAAATATATAAGATGAAAACTTTCTCTAACAATGCGAACGCGGCGGCGGATTCGTGGGTTTGTTCTGAAAGGGTTTGATCGAGGCGCCATCTGTAATCGAGCGGGAAAGAAAAACGTTCGAAGGCCGCCGGCCGGGCCGAGCAGCTCGGCGGGACTCGGGCGAATCAGTGTGCGAGTCTCTCTGCCATTTGCGCGTCGGTACCCGCTTACGCGACACACAGAGAGTGGTGTTACCGGAATTCTACGTGTGTTCGCCGGTGCGTAAAGAGGACGCGGCTCTCTCATTTGGTGCGTTCGTTATAACGCGTTTTGGTTCTCAAACCTTTTCAACGATAATCTTAACGGATCTCAAGGATGGCGGATACGGAAGTAAAGTGAGTATCAAACGTTATTTTATTATTATTATTAATATTATTATAACTACAATACTACTATTACTATTGCTACTATTCTACTACACTACTACTACTACAACTGCCACTACTACCACTACCTACCATACGATTAAACTACAATTTTGGAAACGAAGTAAAAATCGCGCCTCGCTGTTGCTATCTCTCTTTCTCTCACGCTTTCCTCTATTCTTTTCATGTTATATTATTTGCAACCTATCGCCAATAGTAAGGTTTTTATTTATAAATTGATTTAATATACATCAATAAGGTGACCAATCCGATATCGTATCGATAAAAAAGATCGAATGGAAATCGTCGTTAATGTTAAAAACTCACGGCGAAAGAGATCGGGGTGCATTTGAAATCATTGCTTTTACCTTGTGGTGCTGGCGTTCTAGCGCGCGCGCATCAACGCCAACTTGTGTGCATGATACAAGAGTGAGTGAAAAAGAGAGAGATAGAAAGTGTGTGTGTATGTGTGTTGATATGCCACGCACGCACACACGCATGTGCTTAGGTGTACACACACTTGTATATAATATTTGCTTGTGTGTATTTGTATGTGTATTGTTTGCTTGTTGGCTTTGCGTGCGCGGCGGCGAATCGTACTCGTGTAGTAATACGTTGCGATGTATACACACTCATGGTATATATAGAATATTGTGTACGCGTAAGTGTGTGCGTAGAGAGTTTTGTAAGAGCGCTATGCGCGATCGTGGTAGAAAAGGGTGACTGAAGGGAGGGATTGGTGGATAGTTGAGGTGGAGAAGGGAGAACGCGGGAGAAAGATAGAAATAGAGGTGGTATAGTGGGAGAAGGAATAGTAGGGTTGGGGGAGGAGAGGGAGGATACGTAAGCGCGCAACGTTCGGTGCGCGCGCGATTACCTGTGCCCTCGGCACGATGCGTGCTCTACTTGCGAAGCGTGGCCCCTTTCCCATCCTTCTTCTTCTTTTTTTTTCAACTTCTTTATCTTTTTTCTGTTTCTTTTTTTTTTCTTTTTCACGAACATTTCTTTTTTTTTCCGCTTGAATCGGTTTCTTTCATCGAAACGTCTTTAGTAAATAATACACTCCGTATATACAACACCATGAAGATTATTGAAAAGTTACGCGTTCCTTTATTTCCATACTTTTTTCTTATTTGTTTTATAATTAAACGAAAAGATCACGTGATAAATATCTTATAAAATTTACATTCCATTAAATAGCATTCATTTTAGGTTTATCTTGTTTCTTTTTTTTTTTTCTTTTCTTTTCGTGGTATTTTATTTTTCTGACTCTCTCATATTTATATATATTATATATGTAAATGTGAATATATATATATATATATATATATATATATATATTTAAAGTTGGTGTGTATATGTTATTATCGGTATCGTGCTCGGTCATCCTCAACGCGCGGTTCGTTTATTTATATCGCACATATCGACGTTCGACTTTCTTCGTTCATTATTTCTCACATAAAAAAGAAAAAGAGTATCTTATATATATATACATATATTTGTGATGATGTAGAAATGTGGAGAATAGTAAGAAAAGCAAATAGAGAAAGGAACATTTTTGGCGGCAAAATAAAGGATATACTCATTCATCTTTCTCTCTCTCTCTCTATTTCTATTTCTATCTTTGTATATATTACTATGACTATTAGTACGTCATCAACGTAGGTTTATAGAAGAAAAAGAGATAATCTTTTTCTTTCTATATGTCGTTAAAAGTAGCGAGGACGAGGTCAGAAACGGCGTCGTTTTGCAAGAGCCTTGTGGCGCGCAAGTTACGACCGGCGGCTTCTAAAAGAGAACGGGACAACGTATCGATCTGTGTTGCCTCCCTCGTCGTCGTCACTGGTTAGAGGATGATACGAGAGAAAAGAGAGAAGACCGAACTCTCTCTTTCTCTTTGTGTATGTGTGTGTTTGATGTTGTGTTGTGTTGTGTTGTAGTGTTACGCTTGATTTGCTCTTGAAGAGACGCATAGTTTTCGAGAAAGAACGATTTTTTTTATGGACAAAACAAGTTTCTTCGAGAAGACAACGACTAATCTATCTTTGAGACCTGTTGAATAAATAAACATACATTTTTTTGTTTTTTTACGTACCAAACGTGTTGTACATACATGCATATATATATACATTCATAGGAAGTAAAAGAGAAGAGAGAGTGAGAGTGAGAGAGGGAGAGGAAAAGAAAGGCCACAGGTATATTTGTGGTCCACGCGAGAATTTGCCGCGCTATGCTCAAGCATCTGGATCGGTGTGTGTTGGACTATGAAGGAGTAGGGGAGGGGGAAATAAATGGTTAATGCTAACGTCGTGTCAGTAGATGTCGCTACCGTTGCGCGTCCGTTCTCCCATCTCTTTTTCTCCTTTCACTTTCTCTCTTTCTTTCTCTCGAATCTACTATTTGGTTTCTTCCTTGTGTTGCATTTTTTTTCTTGTGTCTTTTTACCCGCGCAATTAATGAAATATGAAATCCACCTTGAGAGACTTGATTTTGATAAACGTCAGTTTTATATTGCATTGGTCTATTACGATGACGCACTTTTCTTCTATTAACTGTTCTTCGTTTTTGGTCAAGGTGTTTATAAATATATTCTATAGATTGCACGTTCTTGTTTAAGAACGTATGAATTTATTTTTGCCTTCTTGTTTTTCTTTTTACGATAAAACTAGAAGGTTTTTTCCTTTTTCTTTCACGGTATGACTAGTAAAATGCATAAATAGATTGACCTTCATTACTGCTTTAGTTTCTTCAAAATGTTTTTGGATTATATGTAAGTTGAAACAATGTTATTTGGATTATTTAGGGATACAAAGGTTGCTACCACCAGCCCGGAGAAAAAAGTAGTAGAAGAAGAAAAGAAAGTAGTTCAGGAGGTTGACGAGGATTCTAAAACCTCGGAAAATGGCCAAGCGACAGAGACCACAGAAAATGGTTCCAGCGAGGAAAAAGAAACCGAGGAGAAGGAAGAAGAATCCACCGAAAATGGTGATTCCACAGGTATGTATTTTTTTGCATTGAATAATGTATAATGTTGATTCTTTGGTGAAATATTTTTTTGCCCATTAGAATGAATATTTGTGTAACAGTATTTTTGATTTAACTCATATATTTTAGATGCACCAGCCGCCGATAGCTGTTGCATAAAGAGGAAATCAACGGCTTTAAATGATGCCGCAGAGGACAATGCTTTGGATGGTGCAAGCCCAGAAAAAAAATCTAGACTCGAAGAGAAATGTGCTGAAGCGGAGAGCAATGGAGATGCAGAAGCCACAGCTTAATATCTTCTTGTCATTACTATTCTCAGTCCTTATCTTATAGAATCAATTTTAATGGCTAAGCGCGAAGTCAGAACAGATTTAATAATGACTGTGCATCGTCAGTAGGGGCGAGCATTTTCTATCAAAAGATTGATATTATGCTAATGACATTTGGCATTTAGTACATCTATGTGTGTTTATTGCAATAACTTTTTATTGATATCGGCAATAACAAGTATGTACATTCATACTAACACTCTCGAAATTCATGAACATCGATTCTGTCCCCCCGTACTCTCTGGCATCCGCATATATATATTCATTTAGCATTAGACTAGTAAAGTAAGAGACGCATATAAATAATTTTAGGAATAATATATTTCTAACTTCTTAAAAATGGACAAACAGTGTGGTGCCTGAAAAAAAAAGAAAGAAAGAAAGAAAGATACATTTGTGCAAAATATTTCACTTACTAGTCCCCATTGTTTCTGATGCACAGAAGTAGGTATAGGTGAATAAACTAATCTCATAACCGGAGATAAAAGATACATTATTTTTCTGCAAATCAAAATACATTCCTAAAGTAAAATACTTGTATCTTCAAGTATTTATTTACTCTATGACAACAAGAACAAAAACAAATATATTATATCATTTAAAAGGAAAATCTTTACTCGCGATTTATACATAATTGTGTATAACGTTTTACTCTGTACTTTCATTGGATTTATAACAATAATAATGAACTCGTCATGTTCTCGATAATATATCTGACGAACGCGCGCAGTATTTGAAATTTGAAAGAAAACCTAATTAAAAATATTCGAGAAATAATTCTCTCTTTGCCTAATGTAGTCTACATGCCAGGATTTGTAACGAATCGCACTCCGTTGGAAATTTTTGTAAAACTAAACAATTTTTGTTTTTTTACTTTTTATTTTCTTTTAATTTTAATGGTAAATCTGTGCAATTTACAAAGTTTAACTTTAAAAAATTGTGTTCAATAATACATAATAACATATGTATATGTATGTGTGTATAGACATATACTGGTGAGTAACATACTTGATTGTGCTAACAGCAGTAAAAATCACTGCATTTATTTTTAGTAGCAATTCTATGGCCGTGACACATTTCGTGAAAAAAAAAAAAAAAAAGAAAGAAACAACAAATTTAAATGTATCCCATAGAGAATCTATATATCATATAAAATATAGATATTGAATGCAAATCATTTGAAAGACAATGAAATATCGAACGATTCGTACATATAAAAATTATGTACTACATTTGGTACTTATATTAAATATTACTTTGTTCGTAGAGCCAGATTTTCAATGATTTTGATTAATTTTATAAGTATCGATGAACAGCTGTCTAAAACGGATTAGAAATAATTAGGAATGCCTATACTCTACGAACATTATTTCTATTTTAATTGTCTCCTATTATTTCTTTAGATATACTTTTTACTTTACTATCAACTTAAGATAATATTTTCTTGTTTTATTTAAGTTTGACAGAATTATATCAATATTAATACTAAATAATAAGTTCAGTGTCGAAATTTCTAAAATGCAGATATATGACAATACTATATTTATAAGAAATAAATTGAAATTTACTTTCTATTTTGAGTTTAATATAAGAATAATAATAATCTATTTTATTTATTTTATATGTGCTAAATTTGAAGAGTATAGAAGCGTATACTATTAATAGTTCAAAAGAATTAAGAAAAACTAATTAATAACTAAGGTTAAAAAAAGAAAAGGTAGCTCTATGAACAAGTCCTATATGACTAAATCTATTATTGGTTCTTTTTTTTATTTTATGTATGTAAACATATATATATATATATATATAATTATTCGTATTTTGCGTCACACAAATAGAAAATATATTTGTAGCAGTGGGGAGACAAATACAAAAATGAAAAATAAAAATATTTTCAACGGTTAATTATCGCGCGTGTATAAACAAAAATTTACAATTGATGAATGTGTTCAATATTACAAAAAAGAAAAAAAAATTGAAAAATTAAAAAATACAAAAAAGCAATAATTAAACAATAAAAATTCTTAAGTACTGAAAAATATACTTTCTAATAAATGTAAATCTTTCGTAAATAATTATAATTGTTCAAATAATAACAAGAGACATATCTGATAAGTGAAATTATAGTATACTAAAGTTTATAATTAAAATTATAAAAAGAAAAATATATTAAAAAATTTCAAATGCGACAAATTTAAATTTTCGATTGAAAAATTACAAAAGATAAAAACTATTTTATATACGATACTACTCTAAATTATAAAATTTATTAATTATAATATATTTATCGATTATTGTTGTTTGAAGATTTTTTTACACGCATCTTTTACGCGTATCCCTTATTTATATGTATTATGTATGTATGGTAAGTGTAAAAACGGTCGGTAATGTTTTTATACATTATGAGAGATAAAAAATTAGAATCTATTCAATATTAATTTTTATTAACGTATTAAAATATTAATTTATTTAATGGAACGTATAAATTAACATTATTCTAAAAATATAATTAAAGATTTTATATTAAAAAAATCTATTTGATCGATTGTCACTTTAGATTTACTTTGTAATAGAGTACAGTAACTAGCGCCATCTGTACAATCCGAAATGTTTTTAAAATGTTTGACGCGTTTTCTCTATCAATTTAAAATATTCCAATTATTACATATGTTTTTTTAATTAATAGTGATTTATAATAGTGATAAATATATAAGTGAAATATTTAAGTTATTAATGTTTATATTTTTAAGAAACAAAATCAAGAAATGAATACCAAACCTGTATTTTCTAAACCTGGTACGTATAAATGTTCAATACTTTTATTTATAGTCATATAAACTCTATTATTTAACTTTATAATATTATTTATAACAAAATATTTTATTACTATTATTTTTATTTATATGTTAATGCAGTTTAGTAATGTTGACGTATTGTCGAATTTCATAACCTATCTTTTGTGTGTTTACTTTTCATATATTGTATTCTATTATTAAAATAATTGAATGATATTCGTTCGAATTGATAGTAAAGTATGATTTATATTTTTAGGAGCTTCAACATGGCAAGAAGACAGACCAGATATCGATGCACATTCATCAACGCAGTTTGTCTACAATGCTCATCATTCGCTTGCACTGGATATGCAACGCAAGCGATTACCTATATACAAAAATAGAGATCATATAATATATCTGCTTGAAAAATATCAAACTCTCGTCCTGGTAGGAGAAACTGGATGTGGCAAAAGTACACAGTTACCACAGGTAATTAAACATATAATAATTAGTTAATAAATTGTGCTTTTTATGCTTTCTTCCATATAGTTATCTCTTTTTAACACCATGTGTGTATGTGTTTAATAATTCTATTAAATTAATGTACCACTCGTGGTACACTTAAACCTATTTGTTTAATGTACTGAAAATTAAATGGTTTGAATGACAAGTCAGATAAAAAAGGACTTGGTATGGAACGTGTTAAATTATTTAGATATTTCTTTTTATTATTGTCTACACTAATAATGGTAAAAGAATTTGCAATCCAATAATGTATGACAATTGAGTGAAAAATATTTTCAAATGAATGTTTCAAAAGGACAAAAGAATACAAATAGAAATTATTGAGTATAATAATAGGTATAAGCAAATAATAGGTAAAAATCAATATTCTAAACAGTCATTTTGTATGTATATATATATATATATATAATTATTTCAAAAGTAGTTCAAGAAAATGATTTCAAAGAAAAAGTACTACGACCAATTCACCTAAAACAATTATAGATATTATTTTTATTTTACGTAGAGACATATATAAATACATATATACAAATATTTTTGAATAAAACACTAACGTCAAAATCTCCCTCCGCATAATATTACCTTCGTTCAATAAAAAGGGTCAAAAGTATCCTTTACTTTAGTACCCCTTTTTATGACATATAAACGTACGTACAATTGTCTTGACTGATAATACGCAATAAAAAAGAAATTTATTCAAATGCGCATGTGCCTATCTAAGGCTCTTTATAATTCAGAATTTCAAGGTCTCGGTTGAATAAAAATTTGTTATTGTTTGACAACGATCGGACGATAAATGTATGAAATTTTAATTTATCGAATTTTCAAAGCAGAAAAACATAAGTATGAAAAAGATCCTTTTCAGATAGAAATAAAAGTAAAGAAAGATAAAGAAAAAGAAAGAGATAAAAATGGGGAGGTCACAGACAGGAAGGGTCGAAAGAGTGAATCGATTTGTTAGGAATATAAAAGTATCGAGGGGTTGAAAAGAAGCCATTTCTTTCGATTCTCTAACATATATATAATGGACGAGAGAGAAGCTACATCGAGAAAAACGTGCTCGTTAAAAGGAAATTATTTTGTTCAATATAAAACGAGAACAAATATATTTGTCAATTCTATTTTATCTCATCTTTTTTTTTTTTTTTTGCATATTTAGGAAAAGAAGATTGATAAATTTTTAGTAAATTTTTCTTCACAATATTTTTTCTAATCTATTTATTTTTTTTTCGACAGATAAATAGATAAATAGTTATAGTTAATTATTAGCATTTAAAAATCAATTAAAAAAAAGAAAACAAATAAAATTTGGGAATTAAATGCCAGAAAATATTTAAAAATTGAATAAAGGAAGGGATGATATATTAATAGAAAACTATTATTAATATAATATAATATAATAAATAAATTAATTAAATTATTAATTAATATAATAAATATTACTATTTAACATAAAAACTATTTAAATTTACACAAACATATATTTTATAAAAAAAAAAAAAAAAAATTTAGAAATAAAATGAAATCAATTAAATTATATTAAAAAATACATTAAATATATTCTACCATTTTTTTTTTCTTAAGAGATAAAGAAAAAGATAAGTAAACAAAAAAAAAGAAAAAAAAATATAAAAAAAATGAAAGAAAAACTTTCTTGTAGACGATTGCTCGTCAATGATAAAATATTTGCGAGGGAGTGTGCGAAAATGATATGGGGGTATGGTGGAAGGGGTAGAAGAAGGGGAAAAAGTGTGGGTGTGGGAAAATGGTAGTAGTTGAGGAAGAGATCTATGCGTGACCACGTGCGATGCGACGACGCATGGACACGATCGTCATTGTAGGTTTAAGTTAGATTATTGAAGTTCGAACAACTCTGCGAGTGAGACTCTCAGTAAGCCTCGGCACGATCTACCGAATGGTTATAAACTTTTCTATCATCTGACAGCAACGAAACGTATCTCATTAGATCATCCTTATATTTGATCGGGAATCAATCAATACGCGATCAATTAGATTTTTTCCCCAATTATTTTCTTTATAATAAAATTATAAAATACTGTGTTCTACAAAGAAGCTATAATTTCTATATATTCAAAGGAAAGAAGATAAAAATAAAACAAAACAAAAAAATAAAAAGAAGTTACAATTTATTGGTTTTGGTCACGTAAAAAATAACAAATAAAAGAAAAATATAAACATGGCCGTTCATTTTGACCTGGTGAACAAAATAGCTTTTGGGATTATTGCTATATCAGTGGTATATTTTATCGTAATGGATGTATTATTATATTCAAGAGTAAAAAATTATCGTATAAGAGCTATGACCAACGATACACCATATCAACCAACGATACCCTGTGATTTGAATCCTCTTTGCGCGGTAACGGTGAAAGGATTAACCCTGGATCATCCAAATCATTTTCTTCTAAGTCCGTTGGCCGCTTTGATGGATAAAATCTTAGGAATTAGCCAATATTGGAATTGGTTGACACCAAATATGATTAGTGGTTTTCATGTGTTGGTTGCTGTTTTGGCAGGTAAATGTGTATCGAGCGAATCCCTAACTCAAAGACGTCTAGGTGCGATACTATTTCAAGTGAGAACATAGCTAGACGATTTGGACGGCCACGTAGCGAGACAGAGAGCTAATATATCAGGTGAAAGATCGGACGTTGGTTCACCTGGTTATTTCGTAGACGGTTTTTGCGATGCACTTGGATGCGTTGCTTTGATAACCGGACTTTATTACTTTCTTATTCGCTCTCCACCCAGACGAGGAGGATATGATAAATTGCAAACTTTACCTTTGACCTCTGTCGTATTAGAAACGACACATTACACCCCATCGTCGTCATCTTCTTCTTCAAACATGTCAATAAGGAACATCGCACTTCCTAATATCCTCCTCATAATCGGTCATCTGATCGTAGCCAGTGCTGCATGGAATCGTTACATTTGGCTTTACCAAGATCTTCTGGATCTGGACATCGAACCATTCTCCATCAATACAGAACTCCTACATCTAAGGCAAACCAACATACTCAGAAGTAACTCGTTTTGGTTTGTTGCTCTAGGATGGAAAATGTTAAACGTACATGCTGCCATGGATTATCTATTATTGGCTATATTTTTTAATCGTGTCTGGGAATATATCAAATTGTTCAGATGGTCGTCCTACGTTCTTATATTTTTATTAATATATTTAACGGAATTTCATTATCAATATGCTTATGATTATATACACATGGTACCCATGATTCTTGGTAGTTAAAAATCTTCTTTAATCGGCCTTAATAATCGATGAGATTATCTATTTATTTATCTTATCTCTCGATCCATTTTATATTTTGCTGTTTCTTCTTGTCGTTTTTATTAACAAACTTATCTTTTGATAATTTGACGTTTCATTGATACATTTTTCTCGTTCATAGTATCATATAAGTATAGTATTTACATAACTGATATAAATAACATATATTTTAATAAGAAAGAATACAAATTGTATTTTAATTTTGTATGCACTTTTATATCAACATTCCATCATTACCCACATAACTTCAAATTCATGTGTGTATATATATATTGTTTATAGTATATAGGAAGTAAATAAGGATAGAATTATATTTCATATTATTACAACTCCTATAGATACTTTAATCTTATCTATATAAGGCAATTTTTTTTATACTTTTGGCTTAGAAGCCACAACTCTAATAAAAAGATAAGATAGTGATAAAAAATATAGTGACAATAGTTACCAATGATCACTGTATTGTTATGATAGTCGAAATATTAAATACCGAGATTAAACAAATATTGATTACTTCAAAAAACAATTATCAATAAAATAAAAAATAATCATTCAATCTACTGTAAATGTTAACGTTTGTTAAAAAATGTTGCGATAATTTTTGGATTGATAGGAATGTTTTTTTTTTTTTTTTAATCACTGAATTGACTCATCGACAATCGAATTTCAAACGAACAGCCATTTTGAACTTTTTCTACGATTTTTATTTTGATAATAATGAACGGGTTTTTTTCTAATTTATTTCTCGGCTCTAATAAAAATAAATAAATGTAAAATATATTATTATTATTATTATTATTATTATTATTATTAACTGGCACTAGAAACTCGAAAGTTCATTGCCGTAAATACCAAATCCCGCCATTGTTCCCATCCCTGAGCGCGATCCTTCCATTCGCGGTCTTCGTATCTTATTTCTTTGAGGATTTGCGGTCTTCGTATCCTATTTCTTTCAGGATATAAAATATAATATGATAAAAATGTAAGTTGTATTTATATGTCAGGCATCGGTGAGTGACACTAGACTTTCCGTTTCGGCCACGTCCGTCACAAGTGACTGACACGTTCAACTATTTTTTCAATACAAAATAACGCTTGTGACCTGACGAGAATTTCCCTAAGAATTCGTGTGGCACTCAACGTGTTAAAAATTATAAAACGATGAGATATTAAACAAATTATTGATGGTGATAATTGGACACAATTTTAATTGTACGATTTGTAAATAATACTTAAATAATACTTTATAGGTTTATATTCACAGTTCAATGATGCCTTAAAAGTATATATATATAAATATTTTATAAATAATATATAATAAATAATAAATGTTTTATATAATATATATAATAATATGTTTTATATATAAATATATATAATTAAATAAGAAATTTTATAGTCGTTGTTATATTGAAATAACGTTTAAATAAAGAGATTAGTATTACGTAGAACCATAAGATAAAAAAGTCTTTTATAAACATAACAAAGGTTTTAAGTCAATACGAAGAGATAACGTTATGGCACAGATATAACGCTATTTTAATTCAATAAATACAAATTCACGTGTCTAATTGTTATTTCAACGTTATTACATACTTTCAAATATTGTACCTACATATTTATAATATATTCATATATTTACATAATATAATATACATAGAAAAAAATTATACATAATTATACTTCATAATCGATTAAATTTGTTCTCTCTTGTTATAAAACCTTTTTCTTTTTTTTTTTTTATCGACTGTCCTTTTTGTCACTTCTAATCGCAACCATTTTCTGAATCATACGATCCGTTAGATAAGATTAACAATTTCGACGAACGAGAGAGAAGTACTGAATAATAGAAGATAATATATAATATATCTTTTTTTTTTTATATCAATTTATTTTTCTGTTTAATATTTCACAATGTTGAAAAAATAAAAATGTTATTTCAAAAATAATATTATTACAAAACGTCGTAATAGTAAAATAACAAATTAATTATATATTTGTACTGTTAATTAAGTTACTTTGCATCTTTCAAGTTTTTGATTATACATTTATGATGTATAATTATTTCTCATTTTTTTTTTTTTATTTTAATAAGAGAGATATAAATAATACATTTGTTGGAATATTTTAACATCATCAAAGTGACTAAATTTTTCTTCTATCGTTGTTTCAATTCTTTTGATAAGAGTATACATAAATAAACATTTGAAAGAAAAAAAGAAAAATAATAACCAAGTTTATTACAAATTTTATTTATGATAATAGTCGTCGTTATTATATAAACGTGAACGAATAACAAAATTTCTCACAAAAGAAGTTATGTGACTGTAACATGAACAACAAAAATAGGAGCAAACTTTGCAATATAAAAACACACAATGAGTTGTCGGCAAAGTTTCTGGATTGTTTTATTATCTTAAAAAAAAAAAAAAGGGGGAATGAAAAATTATATAACACATACATATACACACACACACATATATATATATATATACACGTATGCAGAAAAATAAAGAAAAGTAAAGTTCAATAGTTTCCCTTTTGTTCTTATCGTCACACTTTATCAGAACTAGTTTTTGTAAAAATGTGTTACACTACCATTTTACGGTTATTAACGATTATTACTATTTTATTTTGTCTTTATGTTTTCTTCTTTTAATTGACAGTACCTTCTAGAAGCAGGATGGTGCGAAGATGGTAAAATAATAGGAATAACAGAACCCAGAAGAGTTGCTGCTACGTCATTGGCAAGTAGAGTTGCCGATGAACGTAATTGCATATTTGGTACCGAAGTTGGTTATTGCATACGTTTCGATGATTGTACCAATGAATCTACAAAGATCAAGGTATATACAAAATATGATTTATTATCGTTTGAAATAATGATAAATTTCCGGTTGTGTATGTTTTTTTTTTATCAGATTATTTTTTCATACGAGAAAATATTATGGTGGAGGTATATATATATAAAGTGTAATAATTAATGATAACGTGATAATACATCGTTTCATGTTCGTGTATAATTAATTATATTGACATATGTTTTGTAATAAATATTTTAACATTTAGTATTATTTTATTTGCAGTATATGACGGAAGGAATATTATTACGTGAATTAATGAGCGATCCATTGTTGACGACATATGCAATTATCGTATTAGATGAAGTACATGAAAGAACCTTAATGACGGATATCATTATGGGTCTCTTGAAGAAAATTATTCGAGTAAATGAAACCATTATTATTTTATCTATGTTTGTTGGATATTTTTTTTTTTTTTATATATATATAATAAAATATTAATGAGTAATATTACATTAAACACTTTAATGGCCGCACGTGTACGCAGTCGCCATAGGCCGGTAATATTTTTCAAAAATTAATTTAAAAAAAAACTTTATTGTCATTCACGAAAAAAATTAACATAAAACAAAAAAACAACAATTTAACAATCAATTTAATTTGATATAATTTTAAATATATAAAAAGTTATAAATAAATAACAGTTATTCCGGCTACCACACACACATGTTGTATGAGCGGCCATTAAAATATTAATATACAAATTGTATTAATATATTTGATTTTATGACAGAAACGTAAAAGTTTGAAAGTCGTAGTCTCCTCCGCAACGGTCGATGCGGAACAACTACGTGATTTTTTTAATTTGAATACAACAAAGGATTCTTCAAAGGATACAGCAGTAATTATGAGCGTTGAGGGTAGATTATATCCAGTAGACATTTTCTATGTCAGAGGTATAAAACTAATTTAATGCATATCATTAATCCCACACTTAAAATTGTTGTTACGTAATGTTTCAACATTTTTTAGAACCAGTTCCGAATTACGTTACTAGTGTTGTGGACACAGCTTTAAAGATTCACGAAGTAGAGGAACCTGGTGACATTTTAGCATTTCTCACAGGACTCGACGAAGTAGATCAAGCAGTTTCTCTTTTATCGGAACATGCTAAACTTATAAAGGATGGAAAACGTAAATAGAAGATATTTTATTTCATCTCATAATTATTAAAATGGTCTCGAGTCATTTATCATATTATCTTTTGATATTTTTAACTTTTACGTTTTCTTATTTTTCTATTACCCTTTTTTTATAGTAAAATTACAACCACTGGCGATGTATGGATCTTTACCGAATAATGAACAACTCAAGGTATTTTGGAGAGCTGCCAAAGATACGCGAAAAGTTATAGTTGCAACAAATATCGCTGAAACTTCAATTACTATTCCGAACGTCGTTTACGGTAGAGAATCGCAGTACGCTTTTATGATACTTTTAGTTTCTCAAATGTTAACATTAACATTTAACGTCAATTATTTAACTTAACGGTATTACAGTGATCGATTGTGGCTTTGTTAAGATGCCCTGGTTTGAGCCAGAAACACAAACTAATAGTCTTACCATTGTACCGGTATCTAAAGCTTCGGCTGATCAAAGGGCCGGACGTGCAGCTAGAGTTCAAAGTGGAAAAACTTTTAGGTAATAAGCTCGATACCAAATTTTTAATTATTATTATTATTATATATATAATTTGTTTAGATTATATACAGAAGAAGCATATAAAGAATTACCAGAAGCAACGCCACCAGAAATGCAAAGATCGGATTTAGCACCAGCCATCTTGCAATTAAAAGCATTAGGAATCGATAATGTACTTCGATTCAATTTTCCATCAGCTCCACCCAGTAAAAATCTTATAGCAGGCATGGAATTACTTTATGCATTAGGTGCTATAGATAATGACGGAGAATTGACGACACCTTTAGGCATGACAATGGCGGAAATGCCATTAGAGCCTACCTTTGGAAAATGTCTTATTGTTTCCGGTAATAAATTTTAATGAGTTTTTTTTTCTTTCTTTTCCTCGAGCTAATCGTTTGGAATATAAAATTTATCGTAATATGATTTTATCAGTTTATGTTTTATGTTTTAATAGGACAAATGGGTTGTTCCGAAGAAATGGCCACGATAATAGCGATGCTTCAAGTACAAAATGTTTTTATTCGTCCTGGGGGTGGTCAAGCCATTGCAAAAGCAAGAGTAGCTCATCGTAAATTTGAAGTTGAAGAAGGTGATCTGTTAACATTATTAAATGTTTATACAGCTTATGAGACAAATAAAACGCCGAGTTGGTGTCAAAAGAATTTTCTTAATAACAAAGCTTTACGAAGGGCTTCGGAAATTCGTGGACAAATTTGTCGAATGTTAAAAAGATTGGATATTCCTTTAATATCTTGCAATGGTATAACAATAGTTCCATTTTAATAATCAATTGTGATCGTTCAATTAGAAATGATTTTTATATTAAATGTCGTTTATTATCGTAGGAAACGTAGAACAGATCTTGAAATGTATAACAACAGGATTATTTCCGAAAGCTGCCTATTTACATTATACTGGAGTATACAAAACTATCAGAGGGAATAAAGATTTATATATCCATTCAAATAGTTGTCTATATACTATTCAACAACCACAATGGTTTGTAATGTCCAGTATACTTTTATAGGATCATTTATAATACGTTTTTATATCTTTTTTATTATTATTTCAGGATACTTTATTGCGAAATAGTACAAACTAATAAAACTTATATGAAAGATTTAACTGTAATACAATCGGAATGGTTATTGGAATTGGCGCCACATTTTTACGAAAGAACTTCGATCGATCCAGTTTAATAAAAGAAATATCATTTCATTTGGAATATAAATATTAAAAAAAAAAAAATAATAATAAATAAAATAAAAAGATTATGTTACATATTTATTTGTTTCCATATAAAAAAAAAAAAAAAAGAAATAAAAATTCATTTGACTAATATTAAATTTGCAATTTTTCATAGCTGCGCATGCGCATTAAGCGCTGATCATTTTGAGAACACCAATGCCATTGAATCAACGGTTTAATTGCAATGCAGGTTATATTATTCTCGTTCCTGTTTGTATTGTGAAGGTAATAAATAATACGCAATCACGTTTTATAATTTGCTGAGAGAAATAATTCTTATAGCTTGTTATTTATACATATATTATTTAAATTTTTATGTGTACTTTACGTTATTAATAATAAATATGTAACTTCAATATAAATTAACCAAATTTGTTTTCCGAACAAAGCATGTTTATAATTCAAATGATACAATAACCTCAACACACATAGCGTCTATATTTCAAAAGTTTGTTTTTATAAAATATGGCAAATATAATCGATTCTCTTAAAAAACTTAGCATGGAGAACGGTACAGCGAAGCAGAACAACATGTCTACGAAGAAGAAAAACGAATTGATATTATCGGTAGAAGAGGCGGTGTCTTTGCAAAAAAATTATGTTTTAGCGGTTTGTGGAACTCAAAGGTGAACATTTTATATTTTTGTTTATTATTTTACACTAATAATATTTAAACCTTTACAAAACATAATCTATACATAAATCATCAATTTATTTGAAAATACACAAATAATTGTAATATCAAATAAATGATAAAATCGATTGAAGTTCGATTTGTCGATTTAAACCACATTGTCTTCATTACCGGTATTTTATATTTATGTATATATAAAATAAGTTTAAACAATGGATGATTATTTATATGTATAGAAATTGATGTAATATTTATATAATTTGAATGAATAGTAATTTATTATCTTTTTTTTTTTTTTCTCTCTATAACTTTTTTGCAAAAATATATAAAATAAATATTTATATATATATATACATTTTATAATACCCTTTTTTTTTTTTTTTTTTAGTGAACCAGAATTCAGAATTGGCACTGCCTTATCCGATCATTCGTGTGTCATATATACAGTCGGAGAAACTTTAAGTAGGACTATCACGTTAACTCATAATAAAGCTACTATAGTTGGAATCAAATTCAGTCCTATCTCTAAAAATGTTATATATATGGCAACTAATAATGGAGTAATTACTGCATATGATTTACGTGCTAAAGGAAAAGCAGTTGCAGAATTTAAAGGTTCATTTTATCAAATATTTAAAACTTTAAAAAAAAAATCATCTTTTCTTAATGAATTTTTTGAAATGTTTTACACTACCAATTCTAATTTAGATTTATTCTTTTACATTGCTTTTTTTTTTAGATACTTCAGAAGATGGAAAAATAAAACCATTAGCTAGTTTTGATATAAGTTGTGATGAAAGATTAATCGCTGGTGGAACTGAACATATCGGTGGAGATGCGTTTATTTTATTTTGGGATATTAGGCATAGTAATTCTAAAGTAGAATCTAAGGGTAATAATCTTCTTGGTGGTTATTGGCAGTCACATATGGACGAGGTGACTCGTTTATCATTTCATCCTGATAAACGAGATATATTGGCATCCGGTAGTGTAGATGGTCTTATTAATATTTTTGATCTGACACAACCTACGGAAGATTTGGCATTAAGATATTCATTAAATACCGAGTCATCTGTAGTAAGTTTTCATATGACAATTGTTAATAATATAATAATGTAAGATTAATTAATTATCTTTTATTAAATGTATTTTTAAAATGAAAGGATGGATTAGGCTGGATGAATAATGACAACCTGTGGTGTACAACGTTCACATCATCGTTACAATTATGGGATTATGAAGGAGTTACTCCATATAAAATGTTCAAACGTAGCTGTTTAGCAATTACACAAGTATGTTTTATAATTGTATCATTTTTTTTTAAGTATTACTTTTTTCCTACAAAATTTTCATTTCAATATTTTATACATATGTATACAAAGAAAAAAATTGTATAATAGAAATTATGATATATTATTTCAGTTAATTAAATATTAGGTAAGTTATATAAAATAAAATTAAAACGCGAGTCACAGTTTAAATATAAATATTTATTGGTAATCTGTGTTATTAGGGCATTTCGAAATTTTACAGCAGAAATTGGTAAAAATTTATGACCTATAGTTTTGATGACGAGCACACCAATATATGCAATATATTTTAATGCACATATACATGCTGCTGTCAATATTTTGAGAAATTCATGGATGGGGAAATCCAGAAGACTTGTATATATCTAAATGCATAATTGCGCATTTTTCGTTATGTATATTAACAATAACACAATGGTTTCAATTGCTTTTATTAATTGTGCTTTCAGGACGATGAACCAGATAATTGCTACATAGTTAAGTTTCATCCTTCGAATGCGCTTGGACAGCCATTCCTGTTAGCAGGTTCAGATAATGTTAAAGGGTAAATAATGAATAATAAATTGACCCTAGTAGCACAAAATATTGAAAAATATTGAATACATGTGTATTTAATATACATGTACACATGTATTCAATATTTTTTCAATATTTTGTGCTATATCTAAATAAATAAATAAATGTAATAATACAATCGTTATATTTGTTTTATAGCAAAAACTTGAGATGTCTAAGTATCGCAAATGATCAACTAGAAATCTGTTATAATCTGGTCGGAAATAAACAATATGTAAGAGATAGTTGGTTACATGAAAAGGTACGCTTATACAATAATCAAAAAAAAAGATCTTATATTGTGTGCCAAGGTGTTTCGTTATGGCATTTAATATATTAATTATATAAAAGTAAAAACAAACAAACAAACAAATTTGAAATAATCTATTAATTGTGATATCGTAGAGTAACTCTTTAATAACCGTCGGAGAAGGTGGTATAGTAAATATTTGGAGACAATCAGAGTCCAATGGCGTTCAAAATAATACAAGCCAGAAATTATTAACCAAAATTGGCAGTGGAAAAAGTCGGGAACGTCAGCATAGAAGCAAACCATATTAATTGTAAGCATTAATGAAATAAATATAAGATTCAAATTCTATTCAAATAAAAAACACTATTTTGTAAGTAAAAAAAAAAAAAAATATATAATAAAAAGAAAAAGAATAATCGCTTCATATATATATATATAAAAAATTCAGACGTAATGTATATTTTCTTTCACGTTCTTTATTACAATAACAGTTGTATGTACATTTATAATAAATAGGTTCTTATTTTTTTTATACGGCTAAATATTTAACGACGATTCATATAACGTTCAAAAAATTCAGCACGTTTGCATGTCAATGTTTTTAAGGAATGTAAATTGTATACCACAATGCATTTTTGTATATATATATATATATATATATATATATGTGTATATATATATATATATACATATATGTATGAAATTAAACAAGGAAGAAAAGAGCTATTGTTAATTCTTTTCTACTCTTATCGAGTTTAAAATATTCAACTTAAAAAAAGAAGATATACTTAATATGTTTAATAGAAATAGAAATATATATATATATATATTCAATTGAATAATAAAATCAATGAATTTGTTCTCATCGAACCTCAGTATTTAGAAAATATATACGATGGGAGAACTGCTAAAGAAAGATGCGCAGTTTAAAAATATACTACTGGGAGTGGAAAAAATTGTAAGTGCAACTATTACATGCTTCAAAGATATAGGATGAAAGACAGAGAGAGAGAGAGAGAGAGAGAGAGAGAGAGAGAGAGAGAGAAAGATAAAGAAAGAATGAAATTTAAAAAAGAAAAAAAAAATTTTACGGGTAATACGCGTCGTTTTGTTTTTTTTTTGTTTTTGTTTTTTTACAATAAAGCGACTCTGTGATACAACTCAGCTATGGCAAGAGGTAATAAGTAATAATAGTATAATAATAAATGCATTTTCAAGTATAAAAAAAAGTGTCAATTAAATAGAAAAATTATGTGAATAAAAAATATTATCTAAATAATAAAAAATACGACTTTATATATATATATATATATATATATGTATAATGTACGTGCGATTATGATATTATTATTATTATTATTATTATTATTATTATTAATATTATTATTTAACAGAGTAATCATTACTTGAGGTTTCGTTATCGCTATGTAAGAAAGTAGCGACCACGAATCAGTAAACTTCATCTTTTGTATGTTTTCTTTAACATACAAAAGTTCATAGTCGTGTTCATCATCATCATCATCATCATATATATATATGAATATTTGTTTTACGATTGAAACAGTCTGGTAAAAAAGAGCGTACACCGTGCATTATTTTATCACGATAGATACAATTATCGCATAATAATTAATACTTCATCATCTTTCAGTCGAACTTCTGAAATGCTGACAAAGTTCTGTGTCTCTGAGCGAAAAATTCAATAATATATTATAACAATTAATATATTTAATAATAGTGTATATAAACAACCGAGTGTGTCGCGCACGATTCGTAATTTTTATTTGTTATTTTTTATTTTTATTTTTATTTGTTTTCTCCTTCTTTTCAAGTTTATACTCAAGTCTCTAAAAAGATTTTTTTTTTTTTTTTTTTTTTTATAATACTAGATTATCGAATGAGCGCATATAATAAAACAAACGTACGCCCTTAGATACATATTACAATGTTACGATAACGTTCCAAATATGATCGCAGTAGCGAGTATCACAATGATAACAGTAGATATAGTTTTTAAAGTGAAATAGTATATATAGGTACAGAGTAAACGTACAAAAATACTTCCCATGAGCAATAGGGACGTAAAGATTCGCTAAAACATGGAAAACCCCACGTTTATTATTATTAATATTATTAATATTATTATTATTACTTTTATTATTATTTTTTATTATTCCTATTATGATTATTATTAATATTATTATTATTATTATTATTATATATATATATGTTCTCTCTGTTTTAAAGTTGTAACGTCATATGACATCAAAATTGAAATGTCATAAAACGCACATAGGCCGCCACACTACTCTAGCTGTTAACAACAATTTGATTTCTTCGTATTACACCTTTAAGATGATGACCGACTTCTTCAACTTAGAATCATACATCATTACATTCCAGCTCTTTATTAATCTCTCTCTCTCTCTCTCTTACTCTTCTTTTCTTATTTAACTTATTTATTTAATCGGAAAATCTAAACTACTATGATACTCGTTAACAAAATAATTTACCAAACGATGCGAGAATTTTTTGAAATGCTAGTTCTTTTTTATTTTTTTTTTTATTTTCTTTGAGAATATTTGCATTTATTCCAATATTAATATATTCTTCTTTCTACATGTGTGTAGATATTTTGAATACAATAGACAAAATGTGTGAAGTCGAACATTCATCTGTAAAGGTCTCTTTCTACTAATAGCTAAAAATACGATATATATATATATATCGTCATATATGCTCTTTCGACATATTTTTTATTTAAATAATAGACTGGTATGATTTGTATGTTTGTTTGTTATTTTCTTTTTTTTTTTTTTTCTTTTTCATTTTCATTTTCATTTTCTCACAATTTAAATCTCTCTTATATAGAATACTTTTTTTTTGTTTTTTTCTTTTTAAACGATTGTAAAGGGAACAGACCCCTCAAACCCGTAAAAGGGATAGTAATAAAGACTATATATAGAATACTTTTTAATAACTATTGTCATCACGATTGATTGAGACGAAGTGGTAGTAGTAATATTACTTATATATGTTTCTCTTTATTTAATTAATATAATTAATTAGATTTAATGTCACTCTTTGCACTTCATCATGATGAACTCTTTTCATCATCATGCTTTTATTAATCATTCGATCATATTGCACGCTATATAACATTCATTTGTATTAGGCAAATTTGCGACGCAGAGTTTACAAGCATGATTCTTTAATATTTTTATTTCCTAATTTATACAAAATAATAATAAAAGATAATTCTTTTATCTCCTTTTTTTTTTTTTTTAAATATTCAAATGAAGATAATAACAATAATAATAATACTCAAACATTTCTTTGCTTCTTTTTTTTTTTTTTTAATGTTTCTTCTGTATATCCTGTTAGAGAAATAAAATTAGAAAATTAATATAAAAAAAAAAAAAAAAATTACTAATAATATATAAATTATTATTATATATATATATATATCCAGAAACAATAAACATTATCATTTCTAATACAATATAAATTTGTTCATATTTTTGTTTCATTAAGAAACACAGTAATCAATTAGATATTGCAATATATCTATAATCAGTTTAATTTACAATTCATTCTCAAGTTATACATGTTTACAATAAATAAAATTTTTTTTTTTTTTTTTTTTCAAGAAGAAGAAGAAGCAAGAAATTTATATATATATATATAATCATTTTTCAAAGCGTGCATTATGATCGCACATTGCATAATACTTCTATCGAAAAATGCATTTATTTTATTCTCTTTTCCCATCATCACAATTAACGATACGAATTCTTCCTTCTTTTTTTTTTTTTCCTTATGTATGTTGAGAGATATATAGAAAATAATAATAGAAATAAAAATTAATTAATCGGAGCAGTCAAAAAATGTTTCTATATCACTTGTCTTCTCTCTTTATGCAATGTAATAAATAATAATAATTAAAAAAAAAAAAAAAAAACAACAAAATGATCAATATAAGATAATTGATAGATGAAAAATAATGCGGATATAACAATAAATGGCAGTGAATAATCTCGAAACAAAATTTCAATCACAAATAGTCTTACTTAAGTATGTATATATGTGTAAATGTGTATGTATGTATGTATGTATGTATATATGTGTACGTACTTGAGAAATAGCATTGATTTTTATCAAAATGGAGGCGATCTATACAATTAAAAAGAAAAAAGAAGAAATAAAATGAAATATCTATTAAGAAAACTCGACGACTTCAATCAACGAACAACTTGGCACACGAAAAAACAATGATTAATTAATTAAACAATTAATTAATTATTGTTATATAACAGTAGGTATATATTTTACCCGTCTCATGTATTTTTGTTTAGCACGTATTAAAATACTTTGAAAATTTCTAGTATAAGAATAGCTACCCCAGATGAGCGAGTTGTTTATTATGTACTCTCGTATTTTATAATAGATAACTACATGCATAATTTACAGATAAGATCAGTATCAATATGATGTGCTTGTATGTTATTATTTATTGTATATATATATATATATATATGTATATTTTTTTCCTTTTTTGTGTTGTGAAATTTTAAGCACACGCGCTTATAGAATTAGAATAATAACAGCAGAGACTCAAGCACACCCTTCTTCCATTTCTTCGTAGATAACACGCGCTTTTTAAGCATATGAGGTTTACATATACATATATACAGAATATCCTGTATAATTGATGATACAAGTGAACAGAATAATATGATTCTACAAGGAAAACGCATACTCAACACATTTTCAAAACTGAGTTTCCTTGTTCAAAATCAAATCTCATATATATATATATATATATATATATATATATATATATAAAAGAATTTGATTCGACATTTTTGACATGACATTTTCAAATAGAATTATTTTCTGCTTGCTTATATGATCAATTACAGGACACACCCGATATATATGTACTCATATTATTATCTATCTTACATTTTTGCAAATAGCAACAGGTTTACTTAAAAGATTCGTCTAAAACCGTGCGCGTTTCTAAAACGTTCAGTCGGCTTAATATAACATAACGAGCAAGAAATTCAACAAGATTGGCTGGTTTTCTCTACTATCTCGCTAATCCGGTCTTGTCTCTAATACTTTTTTTTTTTTTTCTTTTTTCTTTTTTCTTATTGATTTATTTACTTTATTTATTTATATGCTTATTTTATATTTTAAGTTTCTTCTTTTTTTTTTTTTCTTCTTCTTCTCTTTTACTTTCCTGATTGCAATTGGAATTGCATGTTGTCATTCACAAAAGTCCTTAGTAATCACGCGTTTTAAGAGATTTGGTATAAAAGTTTGAATTATTGCCATCGATAGCAGTTGTAACAAAGTGATCATTGAATTTTATTATATTTTATATTTATTTCTTTTCTTTCTTTTTCTAATCACCTCCTCATTATCATTATCATTATCATTATTATTATTATTATTATTATTATTATTATTATTATTATTATTATTATTATTATTATTATTTGTTTCTTAATATTGCATACTCGTGTTTACTTTAAACGATATATATATATATACTGTGCTGTTCATTTCAGCACATCGAAAGTTTTTTCACGTAATACATACGTGTCACATATTGTGAAATTCTTCGAAACCTACAACCCTTTTCTCTTATATTAAGAGTTTAAGTTATATTTTTTCTTTGTTGTTATTTATTTAAAGAGTTATAGGTTTTTAAAGATATCAAAAGTTACAGGAAGAAAAAAAGCTATAATAATAATATTCGAAATAGAGAAAAAGAGAGAAATAGAAATATATATATATATATATAGAAAGAGAGAAAGAGATAATAAAAAGAAAGAATGAAAGTATTTATGTAGAAATAACAATCAGTCTTATTACCGACTGAAAGTTGAAAGTCAAAAGGACTTAACCCGGCTTCTAGTCTGACTATCTCTTGAACGAGATTGCGGAGGCGTTTGTACAGACGTCGGAGTAGCTCCATCGTTATTTGGACGTGAATTACGCGAATGTTTTCGTCCGAATCTAAAGAATCGTCAGAAAAAGATCACCTCTTCTTCCAATGGTTGTTGCTGTTCTGCACGTTGATGTTGTTGTTGATACGACTCTGGAGGAGACTGTGTATTTCGAAGAGATCGATTTGAGGAATGTGTAAGACTTGTCCCGCTACCATGACTATTGCCGAGGTCAGAAGAAGAAAATGCAGATCCAGTTACGATAGCAGGGCTACTTCCTGTTCTAGTATGTCGGTCTGGACTATAATGGCTCGCAGTACTTCCACTCCTATTGATGGTACGATAATAAAAAAGAGAAAGAGAATAATTATAATAAATAAACATATTTTTTCACTTTCGATATTAATGATATCAAAATAAGAAAGCGAAAGGTAAAATAAATAAATAGATAGATAGATAGAGAAAGAAAGAAAGAAAGAAAGACATACGCGTGAAAGCAATTTTTTTTCTAAAAGCATCTAAAAGGGGAATGCCTTTGATGACATTATCTTTTTTTCCATTTAACCAATATGACCTAGTTAAACTTTTATTAATAAGATTGCTTCTATTCAGATATATAGATTTACCTTTGTTGAGGATGTAAGCGATATATCGCGAAGTTCCTTTTAATCATTTGTAGTAGTTTACGTATAGTAAATCGTCACGTAAAAGCCATTATTATAACATGCTGCTGCTAAGTTTAAAAACATGCCACAGCAGAAAGAATGAGTGATGTGAAACGAATATATATATATATATATATGTATGTATGTACACGTAACTATTTATGTAATTATGAAGTGAAAGCAATATCGTATGACGATAAATAGTAGAAGATCGTGAGAGATTCACTTGATTTTCTACCTGCTATTGTTATTACTTCCACTTGCGAGCTTCAATGGTAGTTGCTGCTTGACAGGAAGATTGCTTTGTACTTTCTGCTGATTGGTAGCGCTGATTAAATTAATAGGTATTCTCTTAGCGTCTCCTTGCGACTTTCGTGGTTGTACGATTTCTGTACCACTTTGTGTCACGTGTGGCAGATGATTAGTTGTAGGTCCTGTTGTAGAGCCTGCAACCAAAGTAACACCTTGACGTTCCAGCGCCTGCAATCGCCGATACAATTGTTCACGCTGTTGTGTAACGTCTCTTTGCTCGGCGGCCAATTGTTCTCTCTGCCTTGCTAACTCAGTTCGTTCTTCTTCCAATTGATTTTTCTCTTGTTGAGAAGCATCACGAAATGCTGCCTTTTCACGGCTAAGTTGATCCTGCAAATTTCTCAACTCCTCCAATTGACGATTTGGATTCGGTCTGTTATTCAATGATTTTCCCATACTTCCCTCCTTACATGCATTTAATTGAGCTTGTAGACCATCGATTGTCGTCATTTGATTATTGATTATACAAATCAAAGCATAGACATGATTTGATAAACGTATCGCAGTTAATTGTTGATCTTTGTTCGCATCTAATTCGGAACTTTCTTTGTCCTCTGGATTTTCTTTAGATAATTCACCAACTTTTGGGAGAATTGATCCTGCATTAATTGTTGTACTATCACGTACAGGATATCTTTCCTATAAAAAATAATAAAGACGATATAATCATGATCATAATTATTGTTAAAATTGAATATTTATTAATCTTACCTTACTATGATCAAAACCAGCGAACGTTTCTGCTCGTCTAGGAACGTAAAGAGCTGGTGGTACGTAAGCATCGCTATGACGTTCACCTGCTGAACTTAAACTTCTAGAAAGCGTTGCACCGCCAGCGCTAAATGACAATGAATCAGCCAATCGTGTGGCTTCCCGTACAGCCATAAGAATCTAAAATGATTGTTTTATTAATAATATATCATAAGTTTAATTTAATCGTTAATAGAAATAATTGTTTACCTTTTGCCGTTGAGTCGTATCTATAATTTCCATCTGAGCAAGACTAGTATAATCAAGAATTTCTTTTTCCACCTTAATCATTTTTTCATAATCATTATCATATTCATTCCAAACGTTTGTTGTACGGAAAAGTCTAGTTCGTAAATTGATTTTTTCTTCAAACAATAATGCTTGCTCAACGTCCTTTTTTCGTATTTCATCTTTTTCATTTAATTAATGTAAAATTAATTATTATAACAAATATATTATATTGTATGTGTATTTAGATTATTATAAATTATTAAACATTAAATTAGAAACTTACCAATAATTTTAACTAAGTGCGATTCCTTAGCTTTAATCATCTTTTGTCTTTCTTCTGCATAAAGCATCGATATGGAAGATGAACGTGTATCCCTTAATTCATTATTACTATTGCCATCCGTAATAACATCAGTATCATTTTCAGGATCCTGAGGACAAGCTTCAACAGCTGAACGTATTGCCTGAATCCATACATGCTTATCCTTGGGCTTTTGAACTTTTAATTCAAACATTTCAGGTTCATCTGGATTACTACTTATCAAGTAGATACCTCTGGATTCTTGACCAGCTTTTTCACGTACCAATAATTTCTGTAACGACACTACACTAGCAGCTTTATTGTCCGGAACTAAGAAAGCATATTTTTGATCTCTTTCAACTAAGAAGAATAATATATCAGAAAGAACGACTACAACAATGGCAGTCATTTTTCCACGACCTTGCATTAAATATGCCGTTCCTTCGAATTTCAATATTCTATTGAACGCCATTATATCTGATTTCTTGAACTTGGCACCACGATAAGTGGCGAATGATTTCGCATCAATCCTAATAAATAAATTGCATTTTAAAATCATTTTATGTTTCAAAGAGCACACACATATAAATGTATATAAACTTACTTATTATAAATCTCTAATTTTCTATCTTCTCGGTCTTTATCTGCCACGCAAGCATCTACATCCGCTAAAATTTCTTTTACCAATCTCAGAGCCTTTTTTAAACTCTCTCCCTCATCTGGCATAATACCAGTTTTAATAAGTGGTTCGACTAGTAATGGATATTTTGTTAAACGTTGTGTAACAAACAATATACATTCTGGAATACCCTTCTTCTTCAATAAAGGATTTGTCTATATTCATATTACAAATAAAAATTAATTTATCCTAAACAAGTACACATTAATAATAATAATAATAATAATAATAATAATATATAGAATCTCTTACCTGACAGTGACGTACGAAACGTGCAAATCGAGCATCATGTTGCAAATAATACTTGTAAGTTTCAACAGCTTCTCTATGACGACTACAGAATTCACCGTATGCACTTTTCATACGTTGAGAATTTTCACCTGAGAATTGTTCGACAAGTATGTCAGCGATAGTAGGAACAACAGGATTTGCATTTTGACATTTACGTAATTTCTGTAGAAATTTTAAATGAATATCAATGAGATCGCGTAATCTAGGAAACATTCGTTCCAGATTTGGTTGTCCCAAACGGAAATGACGTCGTAAACCTTCTACAAAAATCCTTTCCATTGCTAACAATACTAAACAATGATGTTTTTCTGTTAAAATAAATTCATATATATGCTCTTGTCTTTTCACTTCTCGTTCACAATGATCTACGAGACGTGATGCTACTTTTCTTCCAATGGCTGTACTCCATGAATCAGGTTCTTCCTTTCCTAAGCCCAGTTCAGGATCTAAGCCTTCGAGATCACCTACTGTAAACTGATGTGCTTCATCTCCAAAATCGAATTCCTCCCAACTACTAAAATAATACAAAACAAAGTAGATTAAATATACATATTACTATTTAGAATATAATTAAACAAATAAACAAAGTTTGATATCATTACATACCCGGAAGCATCGCGATGTGAACCACTATCTGCATCCTTTTCCTCATTAATTGTTTGACTGTAATAGAAATACATATTATAAATAAAACAACACTATTATTATTCTTTTCAAACATTATTAATATTTCATGAAAGATTTTTAATAAAAGCATGTAATATAGATGCTTTTTATTTTTTATTTTTAATGAAAAATATAATTATAATATTACCTTCTATACAAACCCCTACTGCACATGTAAATCTCTTCCATACTTTATAATAATATTATTCAAAATATATTTTAATATTAGTGTTAGATACTAAAGGTTTTAAATATATATATATATAGGAATATTGTGAGATTATTTTTTAAGTTAGCTTATACATTAAGATATAAGGTTTATCAATTTTCTTTTAGTTTATACATAATATATAAGGGATTCCAAGATGCAAATATGTTAAATAGAACTTTAGTCTAAATCAGTCTAATAATATATTCTCAAATCATTATATTTATTACTTCTAAACAAACTTTATGCATATAAACCTATAATCATTATATTTCAATCGAAAATGTAACTATTATAGAACTCTAATCATTTATTAAAAAAAAAAAAAAGAAAAATTCAAATAAAATTGCAGCAACGATATACGTTAAGTAAATGTTATTAAAATAAAAATAAAAATGATGAAAATTTAAGCAAGAGAAAATCAATTGTAAAATATAAAAGAATAACAATTCAATCGATAACATGAAAATAGAAAAAAAAAAAAAAATAAGAAACAGTATGATTATGAAGTTTATCATGATAATTATGAATATAGAACTAATATCATAGCATTGAGAAGGGTTACAGTTAGTAAGGGGTGTACTCTAAATCTTAGCCTTATACTTACGATTGCATTTTGTTTGTATCTATTTAATTAGTAATATAATAAAACAGATTATATTGATCAAGCTAAGATTTCAAACATACCCTAAATAATATGTATTACCTTGAATAAGACCACAGTGAAGGAATTACAGAGAAAGAGAGAGAAAGAGAGAGAAAGAAAAATGAGTGAAAGATATGAAATGAGTGAATAAACATAAATCGTATAAGCAAGCAAATCCAGAAGCACAGACAAGCACAGATTGATATTTTTATTTTTTTTATTTTATTTCTCGATATTAATTCGACGTAATATTTAATTAATGTCACTTTCTTGACACAATGTGTGTATATATGTGAGTTGTGTGTGCTGATAAAAAAATAATTTACAAATAAGAATTGATATGTAGTGTGATTCGTCCTACTAGAGATATGTAGGATAATACACGACGAACAGAAACGAGCGAACGCTTCGACAAAATAGGAAATAATACACATCAGACATCTGAGACTTACTTGACTCCGAGCTTGGTGGCAACTCGCCGCCAAGGGCTGTAGCTTGTCACTGTTTTCTTGCTGTTAATTTCCCTTTAATCGTCGAACGATCGATCGGTTTGTCGTGGTAGCACGAGAGGGAATGCACGGGGGAGGAAAAAGCACACACTGCATTAGGGCAATTTCATTTCGTGTTTTTTTGTATTTTTCCCTCCTTCAATAAAATTTCTTTACGGGCTTATTATTTCTTTTTTTTTTTTTTTTCTTTATATCGACACGTGGAAAATCCAGCTTTATATTGTGTTTTATTTTATTTCATTCCTTTTTTCTCTATTTTTTTTTTTTTCATGTTGTTCATGTATACTTTGAGAATTATATGTATGGTGTTAGAGATTTGTTGTAATTATATTGAGAAGGGTATCATTTTGTTTCTATATACTTATATATATATATCTATATATTATTGTTTTCTTCTTAGCTAAAATGTGTAGCACGAAAAAAAAAAAAAATATGATCATAGTTTTAATTGTCTTTTCTAGCGGACGAAAGCACCACAGCGAATCACTTACCCAAAGCATCGTGTTATCACAAGATGAGTATCTTTCAAAAGAAAATTTCACAGCACGATATTTTTGTGCTATTTGGTTTTATATACATATATAAATCTATATATATATGTATACATATATGTTAATAATATATCAATTAAGATATGTGAGACAAATTCGAGAACACGCGAAAGCCTGCTGTACTATTGATGTGGCTAATTGCAAAATCAATCAGAAATAAGAAGCTTATGAGCAAGCCAAAATCTCGGAGCAATATAATTACTATCTTATATTAAAATATATTACGAATTAAATGATCATATATATATATACATACAAAAAAATACAAAAAAAAAAAATCTAAATTGACAAAATAACGAATAGCAATTTTTGTTAATTCGATCATTCTTTTCATTTAATAATCAGCATAAGTGATGAAAAAAAAAAAAAAAGAAAACTCCGAGCTTGGGCTTAGCCATGCCAATTGCGTGCGAATCTCAATCACAGTTACGCGGACCCAATGCAAATATTAAATAGTGATATACATAAATAAATGCAGTTACCTTCCACTTCCAGATGATGCTGGCAATGGTAACGAAGCTGTAGAACCTCTTTTCACGCTGTTGTTACTTGTAACTGAAGAAATACTTGACGTTGATTTAATAACAGCCTTCACAGAATGATGTTTAGATTTACTACATTCTGATGCTATATGATCCTTGCACCCTTGACTTTGATGTATCGACAATCCACAATCTAAAATTAGAAAAAACGATTTGTCAGTTTTAAACGTATAATATTTCGTACAAGTTTTATTATATTGTATTTACTTTCACAATGAAGAATTGGTTTACTAGTTGATTGCTTCATGCAAACATCACATTGATAATTTCCTTGTGTTCCAGTTGTCATTGTTATCCACGCATGTTGTTGTTGACTATTTTTCTTGCCACTTTTATCCTACGAAAATATTTAACATGAAATTTGAATCACAAAATTAGAAAGTAAGAAAATATAACGATAGCAATAAAATTTATTTGTCTACCTTTTTCTTACGGAAAAAAATAGAGCCACGCTTTCTTCTGGTCTTCTCAGAATGTTGATCGTCATACGCAGTTTCTCTGTAAATTAAAATAGTATTTTATTTTTATATTTTTTTACATTTTATTTGTTTACATTTTCCAAACATTTTTCTTCGTATTTTGCAGAAAAATTAAATACACAAGTATACAATTAAATAAATGTATATTTAAAATAATATAAATTCTGCACATATGCACAAATGTATAATACAAAAAAAGCACTTTCCCATTCATACAAATAAAATACTTACTCGTTCTAACAGCACATTAACAGTTAACTGGACATTTGGAATGCCCCCTCTGTCTTCACAATATTTATGACTATGTAATGTGTGAAAGTTGTGACGCTGCAAGAAATGCAACGCCCCAAAATACCCCCACCGCTCAAAGAAACGACGATATAACATAAGAAATGATGACACACGTTGGAGGTACTATGAATTGTACTTTAGTATGTGTAAAGATAATCAAACTTTTGTACAATTAATATTAAAAGACTCTTTTTTACAATTTCAACAAATACAAAAATCAATTAGGATTATATACAAAAGTTTCTATTAAATCTAATTCCAATGTTGTTTATTTTTATTCATATTACTTGAATTTGAAATGAACTTTTAGAATATATCATTCTAACTAAATTATATCTTAGCTTCGTTATTAATGGATGAAAAACTTGTGAGTAAATACATTTGAAGTGGGGGATCGGAGCCGTGCTGTCTAACAACGAGGATTTCATTCATTCATGTGTTAACAGTAATTGAAATATAATCTACATTTATCTTCTTAAGAGTTTGTTACATAGTTGAAAATAAAAGAAGCATTTACATGAATCTAAATAAGTGAATGTGTGAGTATCATATTTCATGCATCGATGGAAATAATGTTTTATAATAATAATAATAATATATATGTCAATAAAAGTGTTGACATTTGTTGCAACTAAATATAAACACAAAAAGCAACTTACGCTGCAAGAGAAGGTGTTGTCCGTGTACCGGAGTCTGTGAGATGCGTATGAATTGGCGGTGTAACGATGGAAGGGGTTGAAATAGATTTCTGAAGAGGTAAACGTGCACCAGTTAAACCTGGCATCAAACTGCTACTTTCACCTAATCTTTGACTACTTCTTTTAGATACAATCTTCTGATATTCGCTCTGTGACAGGAAATTACATACGTATATCACTATACCTATTATATTTAGACCAATATTTCTAATCTAAAATTACCTGCACAAGGTCTGCCTCATTTAAGGAATGAGTACTTGCTTGTGGTCTGCATGCTCGATTACCTACCCCTACGGTTCCACTACAAGATTTTCCATCTAGTTCTAGTTCCATTTCACTGTCCAGACTACTTAAACTAATGCTGCGTTGTCGCTGAAATAATAATAATAAATAATATTTTGCATCGAAGCATTAAAAATAATAAATCAAATTATTTTACAATGCAAGAAAAAAATGTATATCAAGCGATAAAATAAAATAAAGCATAATATCAGAACAAACAATAATGCATGTATATTAACCATATTTTGTGCTTGTAGGTGATTTTGTCCGGAATATCTGCGTCTACCACGTCTGCTATCTTCCAAATCCGTCCAACTTCGTCTTCTATCTATACCCTCTACAGGTGGCACATGAGAACTTATAGATGGAAAATGTGTCGGAGAGCTATTAGTTGAACAATTAGCAAGGAGATCCGGATCAGAAGCTTCATGATTATTGGAACGTGATCCACCCTCAGCAAATATCCACGGACATAAAGAAGGACACGAAGAGGTCATGCGATTATTGTATCCCAAAGTGTTTATCGTCAAATCTTTCATACGTTGAATCTGGTCTTGAATTTCGTGCAAATGTTGCAAATTGTCCTCTGTAAAAAATACAAAAGAAAAGAAAAAAAAAGTAATATTTCGATAACTATAAATAATGAGACGGATGGAATAATTTCTTATTACTTAAAACATGAAATCTAAATAAAAATATTTACCTAAGACAGGATAGTTCTTAGCAAGACCAGGAGAATGAGGTGTAACACTAATAATGGGTACAAGAGGATTAGGCTGAGTTTGAATGTTAGTACCAAGCGTAAGCAACGGATGTTGCTGTTGTTGTACAGAATTTCCTCCAGACATGGTGATTGTTTTGTTGGTATTATCTTCGGTATAACCTGTCTCTGCAACTATGTTTCCATGTAGACTCAGACCACCGATATCTCCATTAATAGTAGGCACACGGTCGCAGTCGGAATGTGATGATCCAAGGTAATCTGTTATTACATCCTCTTCGCTATCCTCTCCACTATTGGGACATTCATCTATAAAAAAAATATTAATATTGATATTAACGTATACTTCTAAGGTAAAATATGAAATTGACAATGGGTATTTATCATTTACATTGATATATCTAATTTGTCCTAATCCATTTTCATTAAAAATTATGTCATCTTTCTGTAATTAAATAAAATAGATAATAAGCAGATCCAAAGAAGAAAAAGAAGAAGAATAAGAAAGGGAAAAAGAATGAAATGTCATGATGCAGTGTAGTACAATGCAGAGAATGAAAGTCATATGTATCGTCGAACGACACACTTTAGGAACCATATCGCGACATAGAGTAAAAACCGATACTGAAACGAACGTCCTCGCGCCTATTGACTGCAAGAAGAACAAACAGAAACATCTACTGACAATCGAGCTAGTCTCCCGATCTTTGTGTCGCGCGACGGCACTATGAACCATATTCAATAGAAATTAGGTCAAATTATTCCGCGCTAGGTACTACTGTTCCTACTGCATCGGATATTACAAAAGAAAAATTACATAGACGAATAATTCGATTTTATCTGATCTTTTTAATCTACATTTTCACACAATAAGAAAAAAAGAAAAAAAAAGAAAACCACCAAAATAATTCAAATTAAACAATATCATACGTATATATTCAAGGTATGTATGAGCTCGTCTATACATGATTTGTGAAACGTCAAGTACTACACGAATGGTGACATCGTGATAATGATAAGGATTACGTGTGGAAAGAGAAGAAAAAAATATTAAATCTATACTTGTATATCTAGAAGCGCGGGAGCTCATCGATAAACGTTTGATTCTTCTAGTATCTTATATTAATGACAGGTGTTTTTTGAAATTGGGGAAGTAAAAAGAAAGATAGAAAAAGACAGATAGACATAAAGAGGGTGAATCGTACCACGATTACGTTTCCTCCCCCACAGTTTTGACTCTTTTCTCACTATTTATCTCATAATACTTTCTTATTAACGAATAAAAACAAATATTCTTCTTTTTTTAATTAACTTGACAATAGAATAATCTTCGATTAAATATGTTTTGTTTAAATCACACCGATTCTAAGTTATCGCAACTTATTGTTATTCTCTTTCGTGTAAATAAGAACGGTGGTGCATGTACTGCTGCTACTACTACTAACACATACACACACTCGTTCACAGAGAGTGTCTCGAGAATCAGCAGCAGCACTTTTCCGGGTAGTAGGGGGTAGACAGACTGTTGCTTTTCCCCGTAGCGCTGCTTCCAAGCGCAAACTGAATTGATCCATCGTGCGCGCTACCCCCACCTTTAAAGTCAAACCACCACCCCTACCCTATTATCACCCGCCGACCTTCGGAACTTCTACCTCTCCGCCCACCAAATGCGACTTGTCTTCTCCCTTCTTCCTCCTTCTCCAAAATCTACCCACACACGTGACATACCACCTGACGTATACGGTCATACGTACATATTATATTTTACATATACATACACATACATACATATCATATATGTATATATATATATATATTCATCTCTACGTTTTCATAAAAATATATTTTTATATAAATATATATATCACCGTATGACATCTTTAAAGATTTAACATTTTCCAATATTTAAATGTAATAGTTGTGTAGAAAATCTAAAGAATACTTTTTTTTCCATGCTTTCAGCCAATACTTGGCCCAGACCGTGATGACTCTATCTATCTTTCTCTTTCTCTTTCTCTTTCTTTTTCATTGCCAACCTGCCTTCTTTCCTTTCTTCTCCTCCTCCTCCTCATCCATTCTCCAACTCACCCTTCTTTCCCTACCTTTTCATCTCCATCATCTCCATCTCCACCTCCACCTTTTCTACATCCTCTTTTTCGTTCTTTCGAATCTCCAATGCACATTATACTTTACTGTCTACAACACCCTACAAACCTCTACTCCCCCTTTTATCACACCCACCCACCCCTCATTATTACCTGTATATACTACTATGTACTATATATGTAATACGACCTCTCGATAATTTCATATATTTATTTGAAATTATTGGCGCACAATAGTGAATCGATTTAAATTTTCGATATAACTTTATCGAGACACGATATATGTTTTAAAATCTAACGTTTATTACTAACGTTACTATAATTATTATTTCTTTTATGTCATTGATTGTAAGATTGAATGATAAGCATGTACCTTCTTAGTATCATGATAGAAGAATCAAATGACGCATTAATAAATATGTCGTTATCATTATCGTGTCATTGATTTTATATATATTTTTTTCATTGTTTAGATTACAAAGTTACTATGATATTATTATTATATCGTAACGATTTTATATATATATAAATAGATTGTATTTAAAATTTCAATATGTTTTTGTTCGATTATTTAATTTTACCGCCTTTCTTTATTGCACATATGAATATTAGTGCAATTATTATTGGTAGAAATTTATTTCGCAATCACGTGATCTACGACCAATGAAATAACCAAGTACTTTATATACGTCTAGTTTTACACGTATTGAAAAATTATTATTATTATTATTATTATTATTATTATTATTATTGGTAGATTTCACAGTCGATTACAGCGATTAAAGTTGCAGAGACTTTTAAAATATTCTAAATAATTTAACATCGAACGTTATTCGATTTCGTATCTTCTTTTTTTTTTTTATAAATATCAATTAAATTTTGATAATATGTTTCAAGTATAGAATTTTGACTTTATTTCTTTTTAATTTTATAATTTGTTAATCACTTTTATACAAATCATGAATACTAGAATATATGTAACTTATTTTTGTTTCGTTGACATAAATATATACAATAATAAAATATATACCATAATATAATTGAAAATATTTTACAGAAAATATATTATTCGGTTAATAGAATTAAAGATATAACATTTACGTGCATATAAAAATGCATATATAGTGTTTAAAGTTGTTTACATTTGTTTATAGAACTTACACGTTTAATAAAATGTGTTATGAAAAGAAAAGGAGTAAGAAGAAAAAAGGCATTATTATTTGGGCAAGCAAGAGTTATATTTTTGTTTTGTTTTATTAGGTTAGTGCAATAAAAAAGTTTTGTTACTAAATGAAAGAAATAATGTATATAGATATAGATGTGTATATACATAAATATATATGTACATATATTATTTTATTACATAGGACAAGCATGTAAATCTAAAAATATAGTAAAATTGCAATAATAATAAGAGTAATATTAACTTACCGGATGAAAATGGAGCTAGTACCTCCTGCCGTTTCTCCATGTTTCTTTATTTTTTTTTTTTTATTCTTTATTTCCTTGTCTTGCTTCAACAATGTTTTGAGAAATGTCTGATTTTTGTATGTTGATGATCTGAAAAATTGTCAAAATATTTAATATCATTTTCTACGAATTGCATATATCATTGGCAATAATATTAATTCAAGTATTATAATTGTGTAAATCAAATTTTCGAAATAGAAAATATGATTTTTATCATTAAAATGAGAAATAAGTGAATTTTATTAAAAATTGACGATGTTAAAGAAGAAGGCATTGTTAATCGTAAGTGCATTTAATTTAGACAACTAAAAGGTGTCTTACGTACACACTTTGTTACCAAAGGAAGCCGTATTGACAGGTGAACATAGTTTAACTTTTAACTATAATAATAGAATCAACAAGTACGTACCGAAAATGTAATAACTTTTTTATAAATCCATTAGTATCGAATGTGCTTTATCCTGCCTTAGTACTTTATAAAATAATGAAATATATAGTAACGGAAAATAATTTCCTACATCGAAGGCACGTCGACCATTTTGTACTAGTTAAAGTATATACGCTCGGTAGACGACAATACAGTATAGTAAAGGATGGAGTAATCTCCGTGTATTGGCTGTAACGTTCAAAAATAGATTAAGGAAAGATTATTCACGGTTATGTTGTCTTTTCCAATATTTTAAATATAAACTACAAAAATTGTATATACCTAAATCTAAAACTAGTCATTCACATTTTTCATGAAACTTATTTTTTCATTATATATTAAAGAAAAAAATAAACGACTGATATAGAACGTTTTGAAAATATAATATTTCGAAGATATACTCAAAAATGATTGGTCGGTCTCAGTTGGTGCATTAGATTAACTGTCCAATCGATAAAAATGTCCACTCGAGACGAAGTCAATGCTGGTAACAAAAATAACTAGAAATTAATCTAGTGTTTTTAGGAAACTTTTGGTGGTAATAGAAGGTATAAAATTTTAAGAATGATAGGTGTCAATGTGAAGAACTGTCAGAAGTGTCGAATGACGTTATTTGATTACACATAGGAATAAAGTATATCCTTACTATATAATACATATATATATGTATGATATTTATGTGTACATATATATATGAATGTATATTATATTTATATATGACAAAAGAGAATCACATTATTATTTGATGGTAGATCAAAAGACGAAATAATAAAGATGATACAGTCGTTATATACAGTATTACATATAGGAGTGTGTTAAACCGATACGAATAACCTGGCTATCTATTAAAGTTACTATCCTGTCGATTATCCATTAATAATATCATGTTTAAGAAATGTTTCATTTATTTTTAATGATATTATGTGTATTTTACTATGAAAGCAAATAATGGAGGTTTCTGAGACGCGAAACCTCGTTAGAGATTTAGACTTGACTCTTCAACCCCGTATCGCACCACGTTATAAAACTTGGCTTCCCCTTGCTACGCAGCAGGTAATTTATTCTATTTATTGTCTATGTTAATTTTTTATTTTTACGATACATTATATATATATATATATATATATATATATATATATATATGATTTTTATTATTTGTATTAATAGATTAATTTAATGTCTATACTTGTGCTATGTATATGTATATATATATTTTAAATAATAACATTTGTGGTATTCTCATAATTATAATTTATTATATAAATAATATATTTTTTCTTACATGGGATATTTGTTTCAGTTGAGACTTAGGAGCTTGATTCAAATAATTGGATATAAATTGAGAACAAATGTAAATAGCGAAATCAGTTGGTTTTATTATACTTTACATAGAACAACTATGTCATCGCCGATATATACAAGCGAATTAATAGATAATGCCAATCCTAGATGGTCTAGCTTGGAAGTACCTACTTTACATGCCACAGGTTACTCATCTGCCAGTGGTGAGCTTAACAATCTGTTAGTACCTTAAACGCAGTTTTCTACTTGAAATGATATTGTAGGGGATTATTATATTTATTTACATGAATTGCTTTAAAACGTGTTTAAAAAATTTAAGCAAAGGGCACTGATACTTAGCTTAACATTTTTTAACTAAGCACAACAAGGATTGGGTTGTCTTAGACACAAAAAATGAACAGTTTTTTAAAAATCACTGTACTGTTACACTACTCATTAAAAAAAAAACTTTGAAGTCTCTTACAATATCATTAGTTATTATTTTTATCGCAATGGTACTCTTAAATTATTCATTAGTTTGTTTCAATTTATAGAATAGGTGATAAATATTATATACATCTATTTTCTTTTTTTTACAAATAGAAATAATCCTAAGGCTATGGAAAAGAACAGCTATGGGTAGTAATACATCAGATATAATTGTATTCACATGGGGTATTTCTTTTACCGGCCTTGCATATATTGGTCCTAAATTGCCCAACAACATGGAAAAAATTCTTAAAGAAAATTCAATAATTTTTTACTTCAATGGAGGTTTTTTTACACCTGCATATTGTTTCATAACAACACCAGAATTAAAAAGATATCTTCGTATAAGTGTTAACACAAGCGAAGTAAAAGACAGTTATACTGTAAATAAATTGACCAGCTTGAGAAGCAAGATGCAAGCGCTAAAACAACAGACCAATTCGGTGGAAGCTTTAAGGAAACGCATTGCCTCTGGTGATAATTTTCAAACACCAAAATATCCTCAATCTTCTTTGAATAGATTATTTCAGCCTCGTACAGTTAATAGAGAAAAAAAAGCTGAAATACTTAAAATACGTAAGGAATTAGAAATGGCCAAATTTCGAACAAAACTATTAGAACAAGAAAGGGCAAGGAAAATGGGAGAATTAAGAGTATTAAACCAATTACATGCTACTATTACAGAAGAAAATCAAGATCATGGTACACTTTGAATTTTAATCTTATCAACTTAATACATACAAATGTAATGTTGTAATTAATTTAATTGTATACAGGTTCCGATTTAATGGAAAGATATAGAGAACTTAACAAAGATATTGAAAGATTGCATGAATGGCGTCAAAGTCATATTGATACCAGAGAAACTTATATTCAAATGAGCAATCAATTAGCTCATCGTCGACGTCAATTAATTTCAGAACTAAGTTTAATTTATCCTATTAAACAGGTATAACAATTTATACGATCAATATATATAATCTTTAAATTAATATATTTCATATAGTTAATAGCTTAATTTATTTCAAATGTTATTATTTAGGATAGCAATGGAAAATTCACAATACATGACATACATTTACCAGATAGCGAAGATTTGGAATTGGCAAATGATACTCAAGTAGCCGTGGCATTGGGCTTTGTAACACATACAACACAAATGATTGCAAATTTTCTCAATATACCTACTAGATATCCTATCATACATTATGGTTCTCGTAGTAAAATTATAGATCATATTATAGAGAACCTTCCTGATAATGATAGGCAGTAAGTATTATCAATATTTTTCTCTATAATAAATTATTCATGAAAATAAAATATTTTGTAAAAAAATATTTTTCTAGATTTCCATTATTTGCCAAAGGTAAAGATAGATTGCAATTTCACTATGCTGTTTATCTATTAAATAAAAACATAGCTCAATTACGTTGGTATTGTGGTCTTCCTACTACCGATTTAAGAGCCACGTTATCAAATCTATCGACTTTGTTAAAAATGAAGCCAAACCAATCACAGTAAGTATGTTTGTAATAGTTCATATATTATGGCAAATCTATTAAAGAGAAAGTAATTAATTCCCTTACAGTTTGGATAATTCAAAAAGAACATTTTCTACTTCATCGTTAGATACAGAAGTAGGTAATGGTAAACAGAATGTTCCTCTTACACCGCCAATACAGAAAATTATTTTTGAGAAATGCCACAGATCTTCACGATCGATGGGCCAATTAAAATCAATTAAATCTTCCTTGGGATCTTCTTTAGATCAAGGTCTAGATAAGCCTGTACAGCCTCTTGTTTTAGGTAGTCAATCAAAACGAATTTGCAAATCGGAAGAAAGTGCCATAGACGACAGAACATTAATGTTAGCTAGAAACAGATCTAGCACTAGCAGTAACGAAACATTAAATTGTACTGTACTGAATAATACTATCACTACGAATGTAAGTGATGATTTTCTTCAAAATAATGATTGCGTTACGATTGACAGTAATATTGAAATAACAATACCTACATCTGTGTCTAAATCAGTAAATGTTACTGATAGTTTAGAAGGTTCTGTCAGTATTAGGGATAGAAGTTCTAATTCCATAAGTAGTTGTGAAATGGCCTTAAGTGGTAGCCAAAATGATGGAGACGAAAGCCCGAATGAAAAAAGTACGATCAAAAGAGAGGAGACCGAACAAAATATTTCATCAACGAATCATGACAATGTAAAAAACATTGAAGATAACATGGAGGATAAAATGAAAAACGGAGAACATACCAATACGTCACATTTAGATAATAGTACTTCAGAAGATTATTTTATGCATTATAACGTCAAAAATGATTACAATTTTGACGTTTTAGAACAAACAGGACCCTTCACGATTAATTCGTCTAAAGAACGTAATGCTAAATCTTGTTTGTCTTTAGATGATATTATAAGATGTACTTATGATGAAACTGAAAAGAACGAAAGAACAAATTCTATTTCCAGTTATACGGAAAAGTGTCATATAACTAACAAAAAAGTATTAGGTAAACAATTTTCTTCTCAACTAAGGTGAGTAAATTTGGTAAATGAATATATTAAAAATTATTCATTTTATTATTGCTATGAGATATCACAAAGGAACATTATATTTTTACTCGCTTTAGGCCGAATGAAGAAGTAGGACAACAAAGTGAACACTGGTCTGAAGAAAATGAAGAGGATATCTTAATTAAACATAACGCGATGGTAATTATCAATAATATTTGATTATTTTTAATCTTATCTCTTATATATACAATCGTTACATATGTTGCGTTTATAATTTTCAGTTAAATAAAGATTCATTAATGGCGACACAAAAAAGCGACAATACTGTCACCGATTATAATTGTATGGTCGAAGAAAAAATGAATCAGTGCGAATTTCAAGCATCAAGCGATTATATAGATATTATTAGACGCAGTTCAGAAAATGTCTATGCACGTACTGAAGCCTTAGCTAATAAGAAAACTAGCTTCAAAGTTATGAAACCACGGCTGTAATATTTATTAATTAAAATATAAAGTTATTGTATATGCGAGTAAATCTTGTAAAAAAAAAAAAATTTAAAAGAGTTATTCTCAGTACATATAGAAGAAGAATATGTGTTAGGATCAAAGTATGTAACTTTGATCGAATTTATCTTTATTATTGTTGCAAAAAGAAAAATAGTAAATGATGGGAAAGAAAAGAAGGGTTACATTGTTTTATAAATATTATTTTCTTAAAAGTATAATCGCGCCGTAAATACACACGCATTCGAATACAAATTTATATCATAAAACAATAAATATAATCGTAGTAATTTTTCATAGAAGTTACATAATTGCATTGAGAAATCGTAGTAGACGAGAGAAAAAGTAAAAGTAAAAAGATTATGTGATTCTATTTATAATATCTCGATATAATTTTTTCTATCTTTAATAATGTTCTTCTATAGCTTGCTTAATTGTATAATATATACATAGTATTTGTGATTTATATATTTTATCTATTATCTTTTAAATGATTATATTTTGTTAAGCAAATGTGACATCATGTATATTTCTAAACAAAATTGAAAAATATTATTTCATTTTTAACTTTCGGCTGGGTCGAGTTTATGCTTACAATGTAAAAAAATAATATATAAAAAAATATCTAGATTTGTTTTTAATGTTTAAGATTATTTAAAGATTGGATATATAAATCTATATAAGAGGACCAACCAAAGTTCAAAAGCATTTACCGAGTGTGATCATAATTTATTAGATAAATATTACATGTATATTTGAATTCATTAAGAGGGTTAAAAATATTTTACGTTATATTTAATCTTTCTTAATTAAGATAATAATACATCATAGTTTTGTTTGTTTTTTGTCAATTTCAAATGACAATTAAACATCACAAATGTTATATTTATCACGAATGCTACGCAATATATATATATATATATAAAAAAAAAAAAAATACAAAATTAAAGCAAGATTGCACACAATATATCTGTGACTTATTATTTACACTACAATTTTCATGTTTTGCTGAGATATCTTAAAATATAATAGTATTATATTACTTTATATTGTAATCTACTTGTATTTCCAAAAATATGTTTTACATTTGAATAATTTCACGATATTAATTAATTAATAGTTATTGTATACTATAGTTGTAAAAAGATTATTTCTTCGTATTCTTTCTCTATGCGTGCTATTTATACCAGTGAAAAAATTTCGTAAATATTGTTGAAGACTTTTATTCGTAATATTCTATTCATTCTTTAAATTATTTAAGTTTTGTTGGCTACGTTATACAAAATATCATAATATTTTGTCGAAATTATTATTGCGTATATTTAATTTATTAATTAACTCACTGAATCAGCAATAATGTAAAAATTCATAAAATTATAAATAAAAATATGGGTTTCTTTTCTTTCATTAAAAATAATAGAGGTCATAAAAATACATACCACATCTATTACAGTACTCATTTATATACAAAAATAAAATTTGACTGAGCCAAATCATTTACAGTAAAATGATGTAAATCAGACAAAACATGATTTATTTAGCAGTCTCTTTGGAAGCAGTCAATTCAACACTTTTTTCCCATAATTCATGCGCTATATCGGAACTGAATTGCTTATTGGGCTCATAAAGTTCGCAATTTCGATAAAGATGTCCACTTTCATTGGCTAAAGAAGGTTCAATAGCACAATGTAACACAGTCTGCGCAGCCTATAGAAAATAATTTATTTAATTAATAAATTTTTCATTAAGAACAGTATATATTGTATAGATAATTGCATTTATTATATTATATTACCTGATTTGCAGTTCTTAAGAATAATAAAGCCATTGGCATGAACAAAATATAATGGTATAAACTTCGTTTAACATGTCTGAATAATCCTGTATAAGCAAATCCAGGACAAACCATATAAACATTAACGTTGTGTTCTTTCATTCTTTGAGCAAGTTCTATGCCAAAATACATATTCTCTAATTTAGAGTTAGAATAAAATGGATTCATACGTGTCTTAATCGTTAAACATTTTTCACCATTTAAATTAGAAAAATCAACAACACCTGATTCCAGAAGTTTAGAAGTTACAATTACTACTCTGTAATTAAGAAAAATATGTTTCATTTAGAGATTCATATAAAATTTAGTCAAATGATTCGTAACCAACCTGCTAGGTGCACTCTCTTTAAGACGTTCTATGAGTAAATTGGTTAATAAAAAATGTCCAAGATAATTAACACCAAAGTGAATTTCAAATCCATCTTCAGTAAACGCACGATCCCTAAGTGGTCTGTATACTCCGGCATTATTAATTAATACATGAATTTTAGGAAAATTTTTTAAAATTTCAGCGGCAAATTCTCTGATTGATGAAAATGATGCAAGATCTAATTCCATCGGAATCTGTAAATTTATGAATACAAAAACTTCTTATATTGACAGATAGAATATAAATTGTTTCAAAAATTCTGAATAAACGACTTACCAGTTCACCATTAGAAATTTGATGACGTATCTCAGAAATAACATTTTTGGCATTTTGCATGTTTCGACAAGCCATAACAACTGTAGCTTTTCTTTTAGCTAATTCTTTTGCAGTTTCCTTACCAATACCAGAATTAGCTCCTGTTACGATAAAAACTCTATCTTGTAAACTACTCGTATTCTTACATCTTCCCCAAACACATTCACGACATTTTCGATAATAAACAATAAATAAGACAACGGATGCAGCAACATAGTACCACGAAGATATCATATTTACTTATCCACAAATTTTCTGTTAGATGAATTTGATCACAGTTAACATCTGCAAAAGAAATACAAAATAATTAAAGTATTAAATAGTCAATTATTAAAAAAATATAAAAAGTAGTTTTTATATTTACATATGATTATTTATGTTAATTAAATCACTTGCACTATGCATGTATACAAATATATATATATATATATATATATATAGATTGTGAATTATTTCTCTCTTTCTTTTTCACTTTTTTTAAAAATAATTTGTACAGAAAAATAATTTTGTTTATTTAAATGAATACACAAATTGTAACTTTCTATATTATCGTTTCTTACTGCTTTTTACCACACTACTTAACGACCATCAATACAATTCAAATTTATGACAATGGCTAAGGTTCACATCCTCTGTTCTATAAAAATAGAAATGACGTAATTTTAAAATATTACATCTATTACTTTATTTTATATTTATTTATTACTTATGAGTAATAATATTTGAATTGTTTTAAAAAATATAATACATTTGTAATTTATAAAAATCAATATTTGTGACTTTTATTTCACACAGATTATGCATTACTCACACAATACTGTTTAAATTTATTTTATCGCAAATTAACACTAATTTTTATAAATTAAAAATTCTTATTTATAGAACAAAGATATGTGAAATATACATTTTTAATTTAAAATAGTTTTTTTAAGTTATAAAATTCATCTCATGTATTCTAGTTGTAAGAATGTTACTAGAATGAACCTATATAAAATTGTATAACTTTTCAGGAACATGGTAAACCCTGATTATTTTTAAAATAATATATATATGTATTTATTAATATTATTTCATTAAATAATAGAGAGTATAATATTTTTTATGTAAAAAATAATTTAAAAAGTCATTTATAATATATTTTAAGTACTTTGACATATATATTTTATCCTAACCAATGAACGTTGACCTTTGTACTATGGTACAAAGTAGTACTACTATTTTTATTGTATACATGTATATTTCTTATTAAATTTCTTTGAAATATTTAATGATAATGTTTACTTCTATATTAAGAAAATCTTTTTTTAATGCTGTAAACAAACGTAAGAAGTTTAAACTTTTGATTATACAATAGTTGACTTATTTTTACAAATATGTAAACATAATATTTATTATAGCAAATATCTGCAATATTGGATTAATAATTTATATATATATATATGTATACAATATGCATATTATTATTTATTTTTAGAGTTCAGAACTAGTGCTGTTTTAAAAAACAATACGATGAAGTCTACTAAATATGAAACCTTGTCTGTATCAATACCAAAACCATTTGTTTGCATGGTACAATTAAATAGACCTGAGAAACGAAATGCCATGAATCAAAAAATGTGGGAGTACGTAATCATTATTTCAAAGTATACAAAAGAGTATTAATTAAAAGATACTTTGTATATTATCTATCATATTTGTTTAAATATTATATTACATTTATTTATTTCTCTCTTCATATGCAGAGAAATTAAAGAATGTTTCGATGATTTATCAGTGGAACCAGAATGTAGAGTTATTATTTTATCAGCTGTTGGACAAATGTTTTGTGCTGGTATTTTATCTCTCTCTCTCTCTTTTGTTTTTTTTTTTAATTATATAAATAAACATTTATTAACGCAAATATTTATGTGATATAAATATTATATTTGATATAGGCTTAGATTTACAAGGTAATCTAGAATTTTACCAAAAACTAGCGGAACAAGAAGATATTGCTAGAAAATGCAAAATTTTAGAATCCATGATAAGCAAATATCAAAATACTATTACTTCTATTGAAAAGGTATTTTATATTGATTATACAATATTTATTATAGTTATTCAATTAATTACGTTTATTATTTTTCTTAGTGCGTAAAACCAGTGATTGCAGCTGTGCATAATGCCTGCCTAGGTTCAGGTGTAGATATGATTAGTGCTGCTGATATACGTTATTGTTCTTCAGATGCATGGTTTCAAATAAAAGAAGTTGATATTGGTATGGCAGCTGATGTTGGTACTTTGCAAAGATTCCCAAAAATAATAGGTAACGACAGTTTAGTCAGAGAACTTGTTTACACAGCAAGAAAATTTCCAGCAACCGAGGCATTGCAATGTGGTTTTGTCAATCGTGTTTATGATAATCAAAAAAGGTAATTGTTGAAAATATATTTTGGAAGTTATGCAGTAATAATAATCCCATTTATTTGAATATAGTTTGTTAGATAAATCGATAGAACTTGCTGAAGTAATAGCAAGTAAAAGTCCTGTCGCAGTACAAGGTTCCAAATTAAGTTTGGTATATTCGAGGGATCATACTGTTCAAGAAGGTCTCGAACATATTGTAAGTTATTTATTCCACCTAAAAGTAAATCGATTAATTGTATTAAATTTTTAATTAAGTAGGTCAATTTATTGTAATTTTATTCTGATTAACTTGATATTTGTTTAAACAGGCTATGCATAATAAATCAATGTTGCAAAGTGAAGATTTCATAAATGCAACAACTGCACAAATGGTACGTGGTGATCCACCAACATTTTCAAAACTATAATATTTTATACATATATAAAACTTTTTATTATTGAATTTTAAGTCCAAACATTTGTTTCCTTATCAGTATCTGTGAATGCAAAAACTTATTTGTTATCAAATATTATTAAATATATTAGACATGTTTATATTTTCATATACCTTTATATTGATATGAAATATTTCATATTATATGCAATGACATTAAACTATTTTTATTAATATTAAGAGATTGTATTTTCATATTTATTATTGAAATATTAATTTAATTAGTATTGAAATCCAATTATTATGAGACTCTAATAAAATTTCGAACATAAAATTGAATCCTATGATTTATTAGCTTCTTTCGCTTCAGCTTCCATAAGAAGACTTTCTAATCGACGTTTTTTAGGTATAGATTTTAATTCATCAATTTCATCGGCAATAGAATACAAATTTTCATTTTTAGGAATTTTTACCTAATATAAATGATTAAATTCTTAAATTTAAATTTCATTAAAAAAAAAAAAAATAAAAAAAATGATGTATCTCTCAGTAATATAAATATGTCAATTATTCGATTGCAATTGTTAATAAAAATATTAAATAATTAAAATTAATATAATCATACATACAATCAGTAAATTGATGTAGTGTTCATAATAAATTCTTTTTGTTGCTGGATCACAAGCAACTGACATCATTTCGTCAATTTCATCTTTAGTAAAAGGCTCTCCAATTTCCATCAAAGTTTTTTCTAAATCATTTTTCATGATAAAACCACGATTATCAGGATCTAGTAACTGAAATGCTTTTAATAGATCTTCAGGTTCTGCAGGTTTAAATCTACAAAAATAAAGAAGACAAAAATATTTATATAAAGAAAAATTATTAAGTATATAATTACATAATTACTTACTTGCGTTCGCTAATAGCTTTGTGCATATATTCAACAAATTTTTTCAATGGCACACAATTATTTTCAACATCTTCTACTTGAACTTGTATTTCTTGTAATTCTGCTTCTGTAATAACACATCCTAAAAACAAATAAGATTATTAATATGATTTTTTGTTGTCTTTTAATATATACAAATATCATATTAGTTACCTAATGCTCTTATTATGGTACCCAAATCTCTAACATCCACTTCATTATTTCTTGCATTATCAAATACATCAAATGCTTCACACAGCCTTTTTTCTAATAATGTTGGTTCGTCAGACACTAGAAAATGCAAATACTAATCATTTTCATGTTAACAATACAAATGTTTCTATTTCTTTTATCAATGAATTCTTACGATTGAACAGGACTCAATTGAAATGTAGAATTACCAACAAAATACTTACTATTTCGTTTGAAGCTTACAATATTATACAGACTCTTTACTTTTACCTTTACACGCGCTTAATGTATCATTGTTTGATCAATATTCGCATGAGTGTGTGTGACTTATTAAATATTTACATTAAATATTATATACATGCTTCTTTTATTGATGTAAAAATAATTTTATATATAATCTTACATTTATATATACATAATATTTATGAAAATTTACATACATTTTGAACTCTCACGTTTACTTATTCTTCTTTCACTAATGTTTTTTTGTATAGATAATCGATCCACTAATTCAAAAACACCTTCCGTATCAGACATATTATTAATTGAGATAAATTTACATGGAATATGTTTTATGTGAAATGTTAAAGATCATTTTAGTATAAAAATGTAAATTTATTTTATACTAAGAAAAAAAAAATCGATTATATAAAACAATTGCTACATATAAAAAATAAACGTTATTGTACTAATTAATAATTATATATATATATATAACATACATGTGCATGTGAGATAAAAATAATTATTAACAAATGTATTAAATGCATTTGGAATTTGTAGTTCAAATTTTCACTTCCTGATTTACATTTATTTAAAAACTATTATGAAGAATTAGTTCTAAGTAACGTTTTACTGTATTTTTTGAAAAAAAAAAATATATATATATATATAAAACGGTTGTTATATTTTTTAAAAATGTGCTGTTTGTCGATCAATTTCTGTAATATCTTCTATTATTTCTTGAACTCGCGTTCCAATTTTTTTAGCTACATCCATTTTTTCATTATTAGGTAAATTGAGATAACTCCAAACCAAATCTCCATCAATGATACCTCTGGCTGGATTACCTTGCGTTTTTACATAACTTTTATATGTTCTGAAATTTTTAACAAATATTATAATTAAATTTCTAATACAAATATAGTCACAATATTACTTTACAGTTAATTCATTATATATATTTAATGACTTACCGATATGCTTTAGGATTTAAACCCGCAATATGACATATGTGTGTGACCAATACATTTTGAAGCATAAGTAATCTACGATATGTTTTTTCTGGAACTGGAAGAATATAACCGAGACTACCATCCAGTGATGCTAAAATTGATTTTTTATTATATTTCTTCATTTATATATTCAAAAAGAAAAATAGTACAAAAATAAAATAAAAATCAACTTACCGTACATGGTGACGTGCCTTTTATCTGCTCCAGAAAAATATTTCTTTTCATTAGAAGAATCAGTAACTCTACATTTAATTCGAAAGAATGTATTTACTTTTTGTCCCAAATGAAAGTCAGCTTTTCTCATCAATTTTTGTCCACCAAGACTTTCCCTTGATTCTGGTTGATACATAAATAAAGCTAAATTACTTTCTCCGTCAGCTACTATAAAACCTAAATTAGTATTATCAATCAAATATTCTATTGTATAGACTTCTGCTGCACGGAAATCCTGAAATAAAAAAATATTTGATATATATATATATATATATATATATATATATATATATATATATCTCATGTATATAAGGAGTATTATATTTATAATATTATAATATTAAATTATATTTTATAATATAAACTTACTCTGCTAACAAGGGAAAGTGTTCTATATTCTTCTTGAAATCTTAACAAACTAATTGATTTGTACACATCAGCGATTAAAATTAAACTTTTAATACTCAACATTTGATGTATATAAATTTGAGTATCTATAAAAGCTACGCCTACGAGATCGTTATCTTTTAATTGCCAAATGTAGATCTGAAAAGAAAAAATATATATAGATACATTTCGAAATTAATTGTTTACATAATTAATTTTATAATAACAAAACCTTTTGTCCCACTGCCGAAACTAGAAATCCTGATACTTGAGTAATAGCAGTTATAGGACCTTTCTGTTCCTTCGCATAAATCTGTTTAAATCTATTTTTTGTTAATGGTTGTCCAGGTTCTGGTACTACTTCTATAATGTCGAATATAAGAATCTATAAAAGAAAAATATATAAACATATTATAAAGATATTAGAGAGATAGATAAAACAATATTATTCATTTTATTTTCACTTACACGTCCTCTACTCGTAATATCTTCACCATAATTGTAGTTTGTTCCTAATACGATGTAACCCTTTAATCCGGATCTTGTTCCCTCATATGCTAAAGATACATTTTTTAAACATGTCACATGTTCCCATTGATCCAATTCAATTCTAGTATTTGGTATAGTTTCCCAAGAAACTGGGGAAAATAAAACAATACTGAATAATTCTTGTGACGGGTAAAGAAATCTTTCAGGTCTTTCTTCCTCTGTGAATTCCTATAAATAGATAACTGTGATAACATTCTACTATTATATATAAAAGAATTTTTTGTTTAATATTTACTAATACCTTATCTTCGCCATTAAATCTGTAATAACTTTTAAGTGGTTCTGCTGTACTCGTTATAACACAATAAGTTTTACTTTCGAGATGATATGTCACAAAATGTGGAGTACATCTCAAAGGTACTTTTCTAACAGGCCATGGTGCATCGTATGATAAATGTGTCGGTAGAACGCATATCCTTAATTCTTCCTAATAAAAAATTATAAGTATATATGTAGAATTTGTTAATTAAAATTGTAAACACGGTGGACATTCGATTAATGAAAGTTTTGACTGCGAACATCGTCCTTAAATGAATTATGTTTGTTAATCAAATTTACCTTTCTATTGAAATATAAAAAGCCTTGAAGGCAATTGATGTTATTAAATGGTGCAAAAGAAGTAACAGGACCATCTATGCCCATTGGATGTGTTCGTAATTCACCACGTCCAGTAAGAAATATCCAATGTGCATAATCACCGCAAATAAATACTCCGTTGTATCCAGCAATATTGCTAAAGTATCGCATCATTGAAATTTTGGCTTGACTCATATTGGGCATATTTTCTTCTTTAGGTTTTGGTCTTTTGAAATTTGAATATAGAATGATTTTTATATAATAAAGAATAAATTATAATAAAACAAATCCTTTATATAAATAAATATGCATACCTTAAATTACCTGGTATAATACCATGATTTAATTTGTGAAATCGCAATTTTAAATGTCCTTTGGGATATTTATAAGTTTGATAAATTTGCAATTCAGTATCTAATCGTACTAAAAGCATTGGTCTATTTCCATGGTGGCCTAAAGCGACCATTAAAATTTCACGTACCTGTGTAAGTAAATTTTAAATGAATATTTATAAATTTATCAAATGCAATTGAGAGAATAATGCATATAATTTAAGTATTACTTGATTTTCTCGATTAGGAAGTTCATTGACAGAATTAGTTTGCAATGTTGTAGATTCCATACTATCATGTAAAACATATTGTCCATAACCAAAATTACGAATAAGATAGGACAAACGTAAGTCTGGTAAAGAATAAATTTCTAAGGTTCCATTATCTCTATATACTAGTAACCAATAAGTAGGCTTGATTTCCTGTAGGTGTTTTTGCCACCTGTACGTAATTATATAATTATGATATGAATAAACAATTGACGATAGAAAAATAATGTAATATTATTGTAAATAATAATAAAGAGATTTACCATAATGTTTTTTTGGTCGTTCCATCTGTATTTTTAGCATGGGGTGGTGCAGGCATTTGAAAAGCTGGTGCATCGCCATATAACAGGTCATCTTCATTATCAATATTGTTAACAACCGGTGGTTCCTCTACATTATGTTCTTCCTCTGGTACATCATCATCCGAATTTTCAGATAATTGTGTTGTGAAAATTCCACTTACATCTCTATATGCGCAGAGTGCTTCTATTTGCGGACGCTGTTAAGTTAATAAAGATCATTATTTGTTAATATATTTTATAGATATTTATATATCTTATATATATATATATATATACTTACGAATAGTAAATTAGCAGCTTGGGCATGTAATCTTGCTGTACCTCTTCCTTCTCTAAGAGTAAGTAACATAACTTGACCATCTTTTGAAAGTATAGTTACATATGGATCTGCACAACTAGCATGAACTATGGGACTACCAAGATCCAAGGGCATATGTTGTATCTATAATTATAAATAAATAAAAAAAAGCAACAAGAAAATAAGCAAGAGTATAAATCAAGTTCATTTTCTTAGCAATAGCATCGAAAATAAAAATTATTATTATATATACCTGCTCAATTCCTTGTAGAAGACGAATTCCCTTTTGCGTAACTTGAACTATGTATCTGTTAGCACCAAGATTTCCTGCATAAATTGTACTTCCTTGAGTATTGAATCCACTTTGATCAACTTCGTTTATTTCTTGACCAGTTTGTAAAATCTATATATTTATTACATGATATTAATCATATATATAATAAATAATAATATTTTTAATATGAAATATAATTTGTTACTATAATTATAGTTATATACCATAGTTGAATCTGCTTGACTTAATATTAAGAAAGCATGGGAACCTTCCGATTCAGTTTTAGTTTGATTATCATTGTTTAGATTACCAATGACAGTCCACATATCCTCGCATCCAGGTAATTCAAATGTTGTTACTACCTGAGGTCGAATAGATCTTTGGAGAACACAAAGAGCACCATTTTTCCCATATCCAGATGTTGTAACTAATTCAACATCAGGATCTTGATTATGTGAAAATTCATCTGATAAAAATGCTGGCTCTCCCATAGATATATTTCCACAAGGTCCTATATTCAACAAGCTATCGCATACCTAGAAATAATCAAAATATATAAACAAATAAATTATTCTTTCATTAAGTAATAATAATAATAATAATAATAAATATACCTCAAATACATAAGACGTTATGTGAATAGATGTATGCGTTTCACTTCCATAGACTTCTAATTCTTCTGGATCCTTGATATCTAATACATCAGATGCCATCCAATCACCAAGGAAATCTTGTTTGATTTTTTTTGCTGGAGTTTCTTCACTTTCATTATCTTCAACCATGACATCATTTTCATTCTGATTTTGTTCATTTTCTTGTTCTTTTTCAGTGAACCTTAATAATAATGAATTACCAAGACGCGAACCAAGGAAAAGATAGTTATCTTCGCACATGCATACCTAATAAAATCGATATGGAATAAAATATATGTTTTATTTAAATGTAAAAATATTAATCGTTACAAGTATTACTTACGCACGATGTTAAAACACTAGCAGCTGCTTTATCAAAATGAAAACCGCGTACTGAACGCATACTATCTGCAAACAAGGACAGTACATACAGTTCTCCACTTTTTAAAGAGATAACAAAACGATCTGGAGATATAAATGCAACCTGGGCACCTTCCAAACTCATTTTAACTCCTTCTTGTGATTCTAAAAAAACAACGAATTATTCAATTATAATTTATTGAACTATATTCATTATTAAATTATATAATAAATAAATATATGTTTTAACATTTGCACAAATATAAAGTTATTTCAGAACAAATTCTACTCACTTAAAGGAAAATTTGTACTTGTTTCTGCTAAACTATTAAGAGATACTCCATATGGTGGAATACTCTGGTTTAAATAAATTAAAGAATTCACTGCCATTATTAATGTTCCACCAAGAGGTTTTTTCACTGGTACTGCTTGATAACAATCAAATGGTAAATTAGAAACAGACCATATAATAGGATGAACTCTTTGTTGAATATTTAATGATATTGCTACCATTGCACAAGTGTCTTGTCTTACCGCAATACGTCTGTGTAAATAAGTATTTTATATAATATTATTTGAAATTAATATATATAAACATTATACATTTACATTAATTAAAATATTATTAATTTTTTTTTGATAAATACTTACCCTGGAAATGTTCTTACAGGTTCATAAAGAATCAACAAAGTTGGTTCGTAGTATCCATATAAAAATTGCAAATCTATAATATTGTCCATTTTTTCTTCCAGACTTTTTAATACAATCATATACGACGACAGTATAGGCGTTTTATTAGATACAGTTAATTTAGCTGTATCTAATAAATCTCCATCATCAAGACTTGGATCCTTACGGAATGGTAGTACTACCAATTTACGTCCATATATCAACATCACTGCACAGCGACCTTCGGGGTCTACTCTTACAATTGGTATATGATGATGATTTGTCCATCCATCCTAAAAAATAATTTTTATTTTAAAATTTTAATATTAAATTAATCACTGGTAATATCGTCAGTAAGTTTTGTGTTCAAACATGTGTTTCTATAAATGCGAATATGTGTTTGGCATTTAACATATTAATCCCTTATGATATAAAAACTGTTTTATTACCCGTATTTCTTCTTCTTCGAAATAATGCAAAGATACTGTTCTAAGATCATGAGTTTCTTGATCGTATTCAACAACAGACAATTTTGCATCACGAAAACTCAACAAGAGAGAATCTCGTTGAGATCCAATTAAATGTACTGCTTGCATTGACATTACATTTCCATGCAAAGTATACATTGCTAAACATTCTAGTTTCATTTTTGGAGAACGTAAATCTGTTAAAACAAAATGCACAATGAAAAAAATGTTTATAGTAAATACCATTGTTATTTTATGTACTAATAATAACCTAAAAAAAAACAGAAGAAAACAAATATACCTATACCTATATATTTTTCTCTTTTCGTTGTATCCACATCGGGAATTAAACGAAATATTCTTATAACATTAGAACCAGCAACAACAAGACATTTTTCAGAACGATTAAAAAAATAACATGTGATTGCATGTTCTACTGCTGTTGCAGGATGAGTACTTTTACATATCGAATACATTTTATTACGTTTTTTTTGTAATATAATTAAATACTATTATTATGAAGATTAATAAATATATAAGAATTCACTCATAAAATTATTTTATATGCATATAAACACCATATAAACACCAATTCAATACATCATTCACGGTTTCGTTGATGCATCTCAACGACTACCGGTATATAAATATACAGATAACTTTGTAGCGGACGCGTATCTACAGTCACGCCTCTACAGACCGCTCATACAACTACACTCAAATGATAAAACAGACTAACAACACATAAAACAAAAGAGAACAATAGTTAATGGCATTATACACGCTACACGACACACAACGCATTGCATTCATCACGTGTTCCAAAAACTTATTTCAACTACTTGTTATACTTATTTGATACAGTTTTATTAATAAAGTTTTCCATATACGTTAACCATTTTGTATATCTTTTATCTTGTGGTATTAATAAGAAGTGATACCACAACTTCATGTTGATTATTGCCCTCTAGTGGTACAACACTGAAACAACGCTAAAAAAAATTTTACACCCTCTCTTAACGCTTGGAAAAATAGATTATTTTTGAAAACTTTTTAGTTATAGGAATACGATAAGTGCATGAAAAAGATTGTTTACATTTATAAATTTTTAATTTAAACAAAAATTGATTAATATTAAATTGAATAATATAATAACATTTATGCATTGATAGGAATCAATTATATAGATGTAAAGATAAACAAGATTGAATTTTTAGAAAATATTTATATAAATTACATTTACATTTACATATATATATATATAACAAATAATAATCTATTGTTTTTAGATTATTTTCGTTTTTTCCTAGATTCATTTGGATTTTTCTTCATCCAATATTTAACACCACCATTCAATCGAATACCTAACATAGCAGATTTAGAATATACATCTCGTGTAACAAATGGAGAATATCCTGCTATGTAATCATCAAATAGTGGATCATTTTTGGTTCTTGCCAATTTAGAAATACGTTGTTGAGGCATAGGTTGATCCTCGCAAAGTATTGGATTATTTGCATGTTTTCCACCTTGTGGCTTTGGCAAAGAAAACTAAAAGAACAAACAAATGTTATTTATTTTTTATATCACGAATTTAGTTATTATTATTATTTGAACACATACTTTCTTTCCTTTAGCTGTAAGTGGTCTCCGTGTATTAATATGAATGTGTTGTTTACCATTGTCATCTAATGAAATAGCAACTTTTTTTAACGTTTTATTACCACAATTAGGACAAAATACTTTGGTCATTATGCTGGTAGTTTTGAAACAAGCATAACATCTAAATATAAATGTTCGCATTTGTTTGATAACTTTTCCATCCAATGATGCTACGTTCAAACCAATTTGCATTAAAACATTTTGCATTGCAAAATCCATTGTTAAACAAGCAACAGTAGCAGATTTTTCCTTAAGTACATCAGAGTCCATCTGCTTTCTTACATTTTTAATATTATCTAGAATTATTAATGTCATATATATTGTATAATATCTATCATTTTTATATCTTTATTAAAAATAAAAAGAACTTACTTGGTGTAATCCAATCGTTATCATTATTGAGGTCGTCTTCAGATTCATTTAACTCTTCTAATGATTCTTTATCATCCTCATCTGGTATGGTCGCAAGAATATCATCTACGTTATGCGTATTTCCATCTTCACTCTGGATTTCCAATTGTGATGGCTCGCAATTAAGATTTGAAAATTTTTCTGCCAAATCTTTTGTTTCAATATCTACATTATCGTCTGTATTATCGTCTACATTATCGTCTGCATTATCGTCTGCATTATCGTCTGCATAATCTTCTACATCAGATGTAGCTGTTTCATAATTGGATACACATTCATCAGAAGATTTTGTATCATCCGATGTAAGTTGATCTTCTTCATATTCTAGATATTCATCATCGTTTTTGTTTGTTTCCTCTTCTTGATCTTCATTTTCTAGAAATTCATCATCGTTTTTGTTTGTTTTCTCTTCTTGATTTTCTTCGTTTTCTTGAATATCAACTTCATTCACAAGAGAATCAACGTGTACTTCTTCTTCTTCTTCTTCTTTTCCTATTACACTTTCTTTATCTTTAGTTTTATTTGCTTTTTTTGACTGTAATTTATACATATATGTTAAAAATTGTTTCATATTTTTATATAATACATAGTATATGTATGTTTTTATATATACTTACTTTTTTCTTTGGCATATAGAATCCGACAATAGGTTTTGAAGAGTTTTTAATATGTTTTGCACTGTTGATAGTCTTTACAATAGTTGGAGTTTCCTTTAAATGTTCTGTACCTACTTTTTCTTTTTCCAATTGATATGTAAGTGCAATTACTTTAACATCGGTGGCAGATAAACTAGTATAATCACCTGTTTTCTTTGCGAATTCAGTAACTAATGGATAATAAATTTAATTATTAAGAGGACAATATTTTAATAATAAATTTATAATGAGATTTAATAAATTTAATCTATTTACCAAATTTAATGTTCTCTGGAAAAGCACTTTGAACACTTAAATCATATGGAAGTACAACTAGCCTTCGCAATTGTCGTTTATTGGTTATCTCATTAACTACATCTTGTTCGGTTATAATATTAACACCAATATCCTAAATTAACAATAAATAATTATAAATATATTATATTTACAATTTAATAAATATTTAACGAGTAAATACAAAAATTGATAAAATCAGCTATATAATTTTAATTGAATGAAAAGTATATTTATTACCTGTAGTGGTGCATTTTTAATAAAAGCACTCGTATCCACGATCAAGTATTGAATTTTATTATTTGATTCCATGATAAAAACAGCATTAATATTATTTAAACAATTAAATTACCACGTGTTCGTTGCCTATAAAGAGCGGTGTATCATAGAAATGGCAAGTAAATAATAATAACATGCGCACTCAATGTTGCGCGTGAAGCGTGCTCATTGGCTGCTTGCTGGACAGCGAATGTGAAACGCCTTTACACGATCATAAGGATGCACCAAAATGTAGCTATACTTCCCATATGATTGACGATCGCTGCGCCATCTACTGATAGAGATTAGAGCTCTTTATGCACTAATAAATGTCATCTTCTAATTTAGGAATTTTTTGTCATAAATTCATACAAATCTCTCAATATCGCTCACGTTTACTTGCACTTAGCACTGAATAGAAATGTCAAATTGTCTCTTATGACTTTTATACTTTGATATATAATTATATCGTGATATCACGTCTCTACCTTGTTCAAGTAATATTTTCAGCTATATTTTGTGATATTTAAGCTTTATAGAAAGCATACTGTTATCATTTCATTCATATCATAGCTTCCAATGTTTTTTAATAGCTTTGAGGTTAGGATTTTAACAACAAGAGAAACATATATTTCTTTTTATTTAATATTTTTTTTTTTTTTAGTAACATGATTTACATTAATTTCATTATTTAAATTTGTAGTAATATTCTTTTGCATTATAATAAAACATGATCCAATGAGTTTACTTATTTATATTCATTATTTGATATAATACAAATAATTGTTTTTCATTTAGTATGGTTGATGACAAAAATTATAAAATTGGAAGTCGCATAGAATGTGATGGATATCAAGGTATATTAAAATATGCTGGTCCTGTTGGGAACATCAAAGGTATTTGGTTGGGTATAGATTGGGATGATCCTGGGCGTGGAAAGCATAATGGTACATATGAAGGTGCTGAATATTTTAAAGCTAGGTATGATTTGGAGATATAATAATTTTTTTTTTATTGTATATATATTATTCCGATTAATTATGTATTATATATAATAGGCAGACTACATCGGGATCATTTGTAAGACCTGGTAAAGTTAAATTTGGTATATCCTGTCCACAAGCTATCAAACAACGATATGGTCTGATAGATGATGAATTGGCAGGAGTAGATAAGGATACATTGTCATCCTTACAAAAAGAAATGAATGCTCCATTTTTAGAAATGGTTGGATTTTCCAAAGTGAATAAAAAACAAAGTAAATTCGATCAATTGAAAATGATATGCTTAAGAGAACAGTGTGTCAATGATGCTGGTGCTCCTGGTGAATTACAAGAATTATGTCCTAATTTGGAAGAATTAGATATATCGAAAAATTTAATAAGTTCCTGGAATACTGTTGCGAATATTTGTAGTCAACTTCATTCTCTTAAACGGCTTAATGTTAGGTAAATTTATATATTTCAAAATATATCATAAAACTATAGTTCATTATGAATAAACGATCAATTTTTTTAGTGAAAATTATTTGCTACCTGAAGAAAATATGGAAACATTGAAATATGCATTCACAAATGTAAAGAGTGTAACTATTACAAGAATGAATTATAATTGGTCCGATGTGCAGAAATGTGTGGATATGTTTTCGTCATTGGAAGAACTATCAGCTTCGTTTAACAATATTAGCTCTTTAGAAGGTTCATTAAAATACTCAACTTCTATGAGAATACGAACAATTATGCTTGAAGGAAATTTTTTGTCCAGTTGGACAGAAATTCTTAAGCTAGGTTCACTTCCATGGTATGTTAGTTAATAAAACTAAATATATAATGTCATTTCATCTTTGTATTTTTGTATATTATTTTAATATTATTTAATTTGCAGTTTAGAATGCCTTAATTTGAGTTCAAATAAAATAGATAGAATAAGGTTTCCATCTACTACATCAACTGATAAAACAAATTTATTTCCCGCTTTACGACAATTGCATATATCAGAAAATAACATATCAGAGGTAATATACAGTTTATAAAAAAAAAAAAGATTTCATTGATTTACTAAAAGAGAATATTCGTTTTCAGTGGCAGTCTGTGAGTGAGCTGGAAAAACTTAATAATTTAGAAGATTTTAGATTTAGGGGAAATCCAATTTTAAAGGATTACACTTTAGAAACAGGAAGGCAATTAATAATAGCAAGAATATCACATTTAAAAGTATTAAATGGCACGGAAATAACACACGAAGAAAGAAGGGGTGCCGAATACGATTATTTAAAATTATATTTACGAAAATGGATAGAAATTGAAAATAATCTTGATAAAAAGAATTTATTCATAAATGAACATCCACGATACCCAATTTTAGTTGATAGTACGTGAAACTATATTTTTGTCCACAATAAGTAATTTGAATCATTAAATGATTTTATATAATAACATTTTATTTCTTAGAATATGGAATATCTGATATTCCATCATCTAAGGCAAAAGCAGAAATGGTTTCCAACGTTATAACGGTAGAATTTAAATGTCCAAATGATCCACATCAACTTAAAGGAATTAAAAGAAAACTTCTTAAAGATATGGAAGTTCAAAAAGTGATAGGACTTGCACAAAGACTTTTTAAAACTGGCGGTAGAATTCCAACACTTTCATTTGTACAACAGAATGTGAGTATGACATCAAATTTGTTTATTTCTAATGTTAAAATCGAATTTTATTATATATATATGTATATATTCCATAATAATGTTTCAGCTTTCAAAAGAAGAAATTCCTTTAGATAAACCTTTACAAGAACTCAGTTATTATTCTATTCAAGATGGTGATCAAGTTCTTGTGAGGTGGTGATATTAACTTAATTATTTATTCATATGACTGTATTTTCTATACTGTTGAGAAATTTCTTCACCGTACTTTGTTATTAAACTTTTTTAATCACATTTGATTATTACTTATAAATCCTTTTAATAATTATTATTTAAAAAGTTACTGAGAGATCTCTTCCATAATGTGACATCAATTCTATTTTTATTCTTATTAATAAACTACTGATAAATATTACGCGAATATCATGAAATACATAAAACATTGCTTAATAATTTAATAAAGATGGTTTCTTCTTTGTAATTATGAATAATTGGTGCAAATGGATTTTTAATATTTTATATTAATATTAAACACAATCACAGTACAAAATTATATATATAAAGATATCTTTACAAGTTACGAATAAAAATACTTATCCCAAATGACATAAGCATATGGAATATTTTTACTAAAGATATTATTTATATAAAATTTAATTCTGTTGTGCTTTTTGTTCAATTTTACTAGCTTCCTCCTTTTCCAATTGTTCTCTTGTTAAAAGTGATAGACCTAATTGATTTTCACGCGTAAATGGCTGAGCCATTTGTCTTAACCATCGTTTACTAATCTAAAAATAAATAGAATAATAAAAAATCCAAAAGAGTCAATTATAGTTGCAACGCATGGTGTTCAATCATATTACCTGTACAGCTTCTTCAGTAGATAAATTACATAAACCATCTGATAAATGTTCTTGTATCCATTTTGGTAATTTACTTCGTTTGTCAGCTCTAGAAAACCTCTACGCATAATTTATACAAATAAAGTAAATAATAAGTTTTGTTTTTTAAATAGATAAACATTTATAAATATTTTATAATTTACCTTATCTGCAAATACCATAATACCGTAGTCAGTTTTACCTCTAATGGCACGTCCAACACACTGTGCTGCATGTCTCATAGCATCAAAGGTCAAGAAATCATTTTCTCTTATCTTTAAAAAAATAAAAGTTTAAATTATAAATTATTAGAAAATTCAGAAATCTATTTACTTACTTGGAATTGGTCACGTAAATATTCTAAACGTGCTTTCAAAATTCTTGATTGTGTATATACGTAAGGTATACCAAACATTAAAACAGCTCTTCCTAAGTGATGATCAAAATCTACACCTTCTGAAACTTTACCACGAGCTACCGAAAGTAAAATAGCGCCTCGACCATTTTCGCAAGCCTTTATATAATTTAAAAGAGCTAAACTAGTCTCTGCTGAATCTTGAGTTTCAATGAATAGCAATTTATGTCTCTGAAGTTGATCTACTACTCCTTGATCATACCTTAAATAGAAAATTTGTTTTGAACAAAATTAGAAGTGTGAATATTAATTAAATAATATATTATTTTAAGTAAAATAAAACATACCAAGCAGCAACAACAGATTCCATGTACAAATATGAAGTGAAAAAGCAAACTAAACCATCGGGAACATTAGCAGCAAATTCAACTAAAAGTTGACCATAATTTCTGATAACGGCAACATCTTCTCTTGTTTCATATTTTGATGAAATTGCTACTTGATCATTACCTTTGGCTACAATCTATTTTATGAAGAATACAATGATATAAATATAATAATATTACGATATATAATAATTGAAGAAATATAATTATTACCATTGGAAGAAGACATTGACGAGCTAGTGTCATAGTAAACGAAGACATTATTACTGGATGAAAATTTAATATTTTTGGATACATATCTAAAGGTGATAACGTTCCAGAGGTAATAACTACTGATTGGAATCTTTCAAATACCGGCTTCATTGCTATGGATGAATCTAAACAACTGAAGTGTAATACCGGATTCAGAACTGTAGGTGTTTTATCATCAAATGGTTCTACTATAATCGTAAATCCTTTTGTGTAAGTAGAAACTAATGTTGCCAAATGTGTTACTAAAGTAAGCGGGGAAAAATCTGTTATGTCTGTTATTTCCATAGTTCTTAAAAGGGATGCTAATCGTTCAGCACAAAATCGTAAGGGTTTTCGTTCTATAGAAACTTTTGATTGAATATCTCTCAAGAAAGCTGCCGGAGATTCTTGTACAACATGCTGTACGCGTAAACGTGTCTTTAAATATTCTATAAATCGTTTCAAAAAATTAACAAAGTGTTCTGCATTTCTTATGTTTCCAGGAACAGCTTCTGTAAAAATATAAAAAAAAAAGAAAATTATAGATAAGAAAAAGACACAATTAAATACGATGACGTACCTTGAAGAACTTCATCGGGTAATATAGGATTTGATAAAATAATATCAGTTTCTCTTTGTACT